TAATTGGCAATTATATTCTAAAGTCTTGGAACAAGAGGTTTCAACTCTTCCCCCAATTAACAATGATATTATTGCTACTGTATATATAGAGTTCAGAAATGCAATTATTTCTGCTGCTAATAAGTCAATCCCCTTAAAAAAACCTTTCAAAAATAATTATCCCTCCCCTCCTTGGTGGGACCAAGATTGTTCAGCAGCTTGTAGGAGAAGAAAAGAGGCTGAATTAATATACTCCCGTTCTATGACTGCAGAGAATTATATCTCTTATAAAAAAATTGCTGCAGAAACCTTAAAATTACTGTCAGACAAAAAGCGAACTGGTTGGTTTAAATTCTGTGAGTCACTGTCACCTAGGACTCCCCCATCTTTGGTCTGGAGAAACGTTAAAAAATATCGCTGTGCAGTTTCTAGTGAAAATATAATTTCTAATGATCCTTCCCCGTGGATAGATGAATTCTCTAATAAACTTGCACCACAAACAGTCCCATCTTATGATGAATGCCTAGTTTTTAATTCTGCTTTTTTAAAAACAAATGATAAATTTGATTCCCCCCTTTTCTTCTCAGGAATTGTTTACTGTACTCAATGGCCTTAAAGACTCCTCACCAGGTATTGATGGGATTCCTTATTCGTTTATAATTAATAGTAGTGAGAACACTAAAACTGTCTTACTATCCATTTTAAATTTTATTTATATTACTGGTGATCCTCCTGCTGAATGGAAAACCCAAATTATTTTGCCCATTCTCAAACCAGGTAAGTCTAGCAATGACCCTTCCAGTTACCGACCTATTGCCCTTTCTTGTACTTTGGCAAAAATCTTGGAACTATTTAATAAAAAATCGCTTGGAGTGGTTTTTGGAAAGGAATAATCTCTTACCTAAAAGCCAATTCGGTTTCCGAAAAGGTTTAAGTACCATGGATAGCCTAAGTACCTTGGTCACAGATATTCATATTGCCTTCTCAAAACATGAATTTCTCATAGGAGTTTTCTTGGATATTTCTTCTGCATATGATAATGTGCTTCTTCCTGTGCTCAGGCAGAAAATGCTTAATCTGAGCATTCCAGTGAGGATAGTCAATTACGTCTCTAACTTTCTCTCTTCTAGATCAATATCTATAAATGTTAAAAATCTCCTGCTTCCCCCCAAAAACTATATGGAAAGGACTTCCACAAGGCTCAGTTCTTAGTCCTCTCCTTTATTCTATATATACTCACGATTTAGAACTTTCAGTAAATTCTTTTTGTAATGTTCTTCAATATGCAGACGATTTAGCTCTATACATCTCCTCAAACAACTTCACAGTGGCATGTTCCCGTCTAAACTCATCCATGGATTATTTACAAGAATGGTTAACTAATCATGGCCTCTCTTTATCTGTGGCCAAGAGTAGTGTGGTGATCTTTTCCTGCCAAAGGCGAGTTCCCGATATATGTGTTGTATATGATAAGCAACCTATTCCAGTTAGAGGCAATGTTAAATTTTTGGGAGTTATCCTTGATTCGAAATTGGCCTTCGGTCCATACATTGAATATATAACACAAAAATGCGAAAAAAAAACATAAATATTCTTCGGTCTTTGTCAGGTGTTTGGTGGGGGTCCCATCCTTTTTCTCAGAAATTACTGTACAATGCTTTAATACGAAGCCACCTTGACTATGGATGTTTTCTGTTGGAGCCTTGCAATAAATCATCCCTTAAAGTAATGGACAAAATTCAATCGAAATGCCTTCGCATTATTACAGGGGCAATGAAATCCTCACCAATAAATGTTCTTCAGGTTGAGTGCGTAGATCCTCCTTTAAGATTAAGAAGGCAATACCTTTCAGACAGATTCTTATTTAAGATCTGCCAACTTTCAGATCATCCCCTAATTCCTAAATTGCACCTTCTTTCAGAGTATATCTCATCTGACCGATACTGGACCCATAAGGACTCTCCCTGCTTGTTTAAAAGTTTTGTAATTTTTCTTCAGCTTCCTTACCCAATCTTTCAATGCAAAATAAATCCACTCTTTGATGTTCCTTACGAGGCTATTGTTTACCAACCCGACATTCATCTAAATCTAGGTATAGAAAAGGATTCTCCAATGGCAAATTTGAAATTAAAAGAAATTATAGAAAACACCTTTAAAGATTGGCTTGTCATGTACACAGACGCTTCAAAACATTCTGATGAAGACTATACTAGAGCTGCTGTTTGGATTCCTAAGTTCAAAATCATTCTTAACTTTAAATGCCCCTCACTATCCTCCACTTTTACCGGTGAAGCAACTGCAATCAGTGAAGCTTTGTTATATGTAGAGTCACATAATCTTAATAAAACAGTTATTTTCACAGATTCAAAAAGTTGTTTGTTAGCTATTTTGTCCAATCAATTCCATAACAAACATAAGTTTCCACTAATTCTTAAAATAAAAAATACCCTATTCAGATGCCATCTTAAAGGAATCCATGTTTCAGTGGCCTGGATTCCAGGCCACAGTGGTATCCATGGTAACGAAACAGCTGATGTACTCGCTAAAAATGCAATTGCTAATGGCATTCTACAAAATTTAATTTACTCACATGACCTAATTTTGCTAGCTAAAAGGAAACTGAATGAAAATTGGAATAAATTATGGGAAGTTTCCAAAAAAGTTAAAGGTAAGCACTATGCTGCCATCCAAGAGGTTATTCCTCCCAAGCCTTGGTTCTTTAAATTTAACAAAGCAAATAAACATGCAACTTCAATCATTTGTAGATTAAGAATTGGACACGCTTGTACACATGCACATCTGGCAAAAATCAGAGTAAGGGATAGCTCATTGTGTGAATGTGGCTTAGATGAAGGTTCCACAAAACATATTTTTTTCAACTGTCCCAAATTATCCTCCTCCCTTTATGATTACCATCCTCCTTATATTCCTCGACCTATAGATTTTAATTCTCTTTTAACATATACCAGTACTCCTTTTGTGTATATTTTATGTGATTTTATTAATACTAATAATATGAAACTTTAAATCCTTGTCACTTTTAACATACGGGTAAGAGTCTAACACCTGTGTTTGTCATATTTGTTCTAGGTAATTCAACAAATAGATTTGTCAAAATTCTCGGAGGAAAACTGAATCCTTGTATTATCACAGACTCTTATTTTAATTAAACTCATAAGCTTTCATTTTCTACTCAATACGTCATTGGCGAATTTTATCAAACCGCCACAAAAGAAAGAAGAAGAAGTATGACATTGACAGGTACTGTCTGTACTACTAAGAAATTCAGGACTTCATAAGCGTGATTTTACTGACAGCTGTCGCAAAGATCAAGTTATCTTTTATGAACTAAAATGTGGTTAATTGTACATAGGGGGGAGCGCCGTGGTATAAAAAAAATTCTTATTTTAAATTCCAATAACGCGGGATTAGTGCCATATGATTAAAGTCAATTTATCTTTATTTTTTCAGCTTAATTAATAACATCTTCTGCCTCCGCAGGGGCCTTAAAGTTTAATGTTTTATCGGAAAAGTTGAGTACGCTTGGGCTAATATAAATAATAAATAAGAGTAAACTAGAGATTGTAAATGATACTCAATAATATAATTAGAATACTTATAATGTAATTTAATAAAAAAGTAACACAAAATTCAATCATATGTTTTAAAAAGCAAATCGTAAATTTGCCTTAAAATCTCTCTTTGTCTCGAATTTTGGCATTTTCTTACGTACGGGATTCCAATTTGGCTTTTATGGTAATCGTGATGAATCCTTACATTGTAAATGGCCGCGACTGTCGTCAACTTTACAGCTCGCTCAACAGTCTGGGTATGACATGGGAGACGTAATAACAAAAGTTCACCCTCACCACTAGATTGGACTATTTTCTGAATTTCTTGGTCACTTAAGAAATTCAAGATCGGCGATTCAGTAATGGTGTGTTGCCAATTTATCACATCAATGTAAGTTGTTGCCCTGAAATTAATATATACATAGCCCAACGGATTAGTAAGCTGAAGTGGCAATGGGCCGGCCATATAGCTCGAAGAACCGATAACCGATGGGGAAGAAAGGTTCTCGAGTGGCAGCCTCGTACCGGTAGGCGTAGTGTAGGGCGACCCCCACCAGATGGAGTGACGACCTGGTAAGACATGCAGGAAGTCGATGGTGGATGCAGGTGGCTCAGGATCTTGCTTTGTGGCATTACTTGGGGGAGGCCTATGTTCAGCAGTGGACTTGTGAAGGGCTGTAATGATGATGATGATGAAAAACTTGGTTTTTTATTGATTTATAACGAAAATATATCATATTTTAAATTAAAAAATAAAACAACATGTCACGATTTATTTAATAACAGCATATTTACATAGCGTTAATCCTAGGTCAAAAATGACTTTTTTATAAAATTTCAATGACCTTGCGGAGGCAGTTACTCATTACTCTGAAGGCACCTTTTGCGCACTATTAGGTTATGATAAAGTGAAAAAAATTTTCGCTCCATCCTATTGTACAGCATATTCATTACGCAGTTATGCAAAAAATATAAAGTCAGATACATACGTCGAACTTTCCACTAACGTCTTTTCTAGTTTCACACAGTTCACACAGTTTTTTTAGAGCACAAATTTAAACTCCGGATTATGAAATTGAAGGAAAGAAGCTACGTAAATATAATAGCAAAATATGTAAATAAGCTATAATTTGTTATTTCATTTTAAAAAATCATCTCTTTTTTCATGCAGAATTTTTGAAACACTGGTTTTATCTGTAACGCCACCTGTTTTTTTACAAATCCGGTCTGATAAGCTGGCAACTTTAGCTGTCACTGGCTGTCAACATGTCTAGAAAAATCGGTGCATTTTGTTATTTCAGATTCAGAGTACCTCTTTTCGCTTGTTACCAAAATAGAACCTTATAAATAACAGAGTATAAGTAATAAAGGGGAAAGTTGTTAAGACTTTTGGATAAGAGAAGAATTCCTTGAAAAAATAAAAACGAAGTGTTTATAAAGTAGGATAAAATGAGTGAGGCGGCTGTTGAGGTTTGTTGTAAACCGGCTACAAATATTATTTTTGCGACAACATAGATTTATTGTACTTAATGTAAATTATACCTTAAAACTAAACTAAAATTATGTGTCAAACAATTTTTATTTTACAAAACAATGGTATTCCGATGTCTGAAATTTAAAATCGCTACAGGTTATTAAAAAGTACGATATTATATTTACCGAATTGCGTCGGATGTGCAACACGGTTCATATGAGATTTTGTTAGATAAGATGTTCTTTACTGGACAGACATGGCAATGGTCCCAACAGTCTATTTAAGTCAGTATAAGTCTATTTAAATTAAATTAAATACACATTATTGCCTCCTAGATTACTGTTTCATAGTAATTTAAATAATTCCAGCAGTTAGCTTTACGGTTAAAGCTTGTTTAGTTTTATGTGCCTAGATTCTACCAGGTGGTAGGCATGTGTCAATCGTGAAAGATTTGTTCATTAAACCCGGGTCACATGAAAGATAGGACCTATATAGCCTGTGAATTATTATTTGAACAAACTATTACTGCTTGAACAAATTGTTAATGTAAAAGTATTTTTCTAATGGACATTTTTCTACTTATTATTCAAAATAATTAATTGCTTCAATCAATTTTCACTAGTATTATAAGGCAGAAATGCCTGTATGTAAGCTTGGAAGTTTGAGATATTCGTGGAAATAACTAGCAACTGTAAAGAACTAGTTTTTATCTTTCGAACAAATAAGATACTAAAGTATTTCATTTATTTAACAGTAAATTTTTTCAAAATATTTACCTCTCCCCTAGCGAGCTCATGAGATCGCGGCCATATTCCGTCGAATCCCTAACGGTCTCATGAGACCGCACCTACCGGCAGCACTATAACCCATAAAAACTTACATTTAAAGACTACTTTTCTATGAAGAAGTTTGGCATTATAGAATCAATATGAAATTTTCTATCCTCTAGTTGAATTCAGTTAGTCTATAGATATTCATTTATAATCTACATTCAAAGTGTGTCATTGTTGAGTGATTGTTGTCGTATTGTTGCATTGATTTTTGAGTTTTTCTAAGTTAAGAACAGTTTTTTATATTGTAAAATAGTTACAAAAGTTTTTGTGTGAATATAATTTATCTTTTTGCGTAAATAATTTTGAGTAATATATAGAAATAATAGTAATTTTCAAGCTACTGACATCCTCTTGGTATCCAATAAAGTATTTTTGTAATGATTAATCCATTGAATAACTGACTTGTTTAAACTCTAGAATAGAAAACTTTGTGTAGATTCCATAATGCCAAACTTCTTTTTAGAAAAGTAGTCTATAAATATAAATTTTTATGGCATCTGTCCATCAAATCCCAAGCAGTCGCATGCGACCGCACCCACCAGACCACTTTTCTTTAAAAAAGTTTGGCATTATAGAATCTATACAAAATTCTCTATACTATAGTCTAAACAAAAGTCAGTTACTCTATGAATTTTTATTTTTAATCTACTGTAAAATTGCGCCATTTTTGTATAGTTGGCAAATGTCGTAAATTGACAGGAGAATAAAAATAAAATATATAGAGTAACTGACTTTTGCTTAGACCACAGGATAGAGAATTTCGTATAGATTCTAAAATGCTAAAGTTCTTTATAGATAACTAGTCTATAAATATAAGTTTTAATGCTTTAAAGTGCTGTGGGCGGGTGCGGTCGCATGACCGCTCGGGATTTGACGAACGCGTATGACTGCATAGGGGAAAATTAAGAGGATTGAGGAGTTAAATCATTTACATACAGTAAAGCTCAGAATATTATGCAATAAGTAAAACAATAAAATATAGTATTTATTTACAAACTAAACTGAAAAGCCTGCGCTTGTGAATTGCCACTGATTAAATAGTATAGTAATGTCTGAAGGCCAACAGAATCGAGCGGGTATCACATATCACAGAATACTGAAATTCAAAATAATCCATTTAAATTATCTACCCGAATTACCCGATTTGTATGACAAAACAATACTTGAATGTTTGGGAAACTAGAAATAAATGAATGACACATATCTAGTGGTAGGACTTTTCTGCCTGGGATTCCGTCTGGGTCCATGTTACCTTACCTAATTGTGCTGCCAAGCAACAGGGAATGCCTTGCTGTGTTCTTGCTTGAAGAGTATTATATGCCTAGGATTCCATTGGGGTTGATATCACCTTACCTATTTGTACTGCCAAGCAACAGCGAATGCATTGCTGTGTTCTTGCTCGAAGTGTATTATGCCTAGGATTCCATCTGGGTCGAAGTCACCTTACTTATTTGAGCTGCCAAGCAACAGCGAATGCCTTGCTGTGTTCTTGCTTGAAGAGTATTATACCTAGGATTCCATCGGAGTCAATATCACCTTACATATTTTTGCTGCCAAGCAACAGAGAACGCCTTGCTGTGTTCTTGCTTGAAGAGTATTATGAGTCCATGGGCTGCAATAGCACAGAAATCGTAATAATTAGACAATAGAAGTCGCATAGACGCGTGACTTTGTCGCCGCTTAGGGTTGACGAACATAATTCACCATTTTGTGATTTAGTTGTGCGGGGAACGATGTACGTGAATTTTTGTTATTATAAATTTATAATGGTGCACTGCAGCGCATAATTAGTTGTAAAACTTATCACGGGACGTGTACTTAAACTAATAAAGGCATAACATTTCATCAGTAGGTTGACTATTTACTAATTATCATTGTTTTAATTATATTTACATCTAGCCTGTTAACCAAGCCATGCGCACTTTTGATCGTACAATACCATCCTTCCGTTTGCCAAGTCGTGCGCTAATTAGATCAGAATTATGTAAACGTGTGTACCTATGAAAAAACTATTTTTTCGTTTTAAACAAAACCAAAGACACTATGCAATAGATAATAGTATCAAAGACAAAGATATGCTCTTTTATTTTAAACCATAACCTGGCAATGTTTCCTTAGAAAAAAAAAAAAGAAATCACTCTGAACTTTCGGCGTTCCACGTGTCGTTTTGATGAAGGTGCTCCGTCTTTTTTTATAGAATTTTATATTTGTGTCTGGACTAAAAACGAAAGTATTATACTTTTTTGTATTCCTTGTAATATAGTAAACACGTAGATATATAATTTGTGGTATAAAAAGTGAAAAGTAAATTGCCAAAAGTACTTCAAAATCCGGAAGCTCCATTTTGGCGGTTGGGTCATAAATGTTTTATTTTTCAAATTCTCATTTATTTTTAGTGTAAAATGTAAGTAAAAATAGTTTTCTTACATATTTCAAATAACTTGACGTTGTATTTATTTCAAATTCACACAAAAATATGTTTGAAATATTGTTCGAAATGTCATACAGATAAAATATTATTATTTTTTTTTAATTTTTTAATATTTTAATATTTTGGTATGAGTAACGAATGGAAACACATAAAACATAAAAATATACATATTTCCAAACATTTTCATATAAATTTCTCTAAAAACAAAAGTGTAGAATTCAAATTAGTAGTAATTTTGTCACTAAAATTGAAGTATATACTACTACTATGCTATACATAATTGGGAGAAGTAATTTTACGTGTTTTATTACAATTTCTAGCAACCAAAAATAATTTTATTCGATAGTTTATACATTCAACAAGAATTCTTGTAAGTTTTATCCATAAATATTGTCTCAAAGTGAAAATATAGCAAAATTTGCAATATAGCAAAAAATTTGCTAATTTGCAAATTTTCCCGCCATTACGGTCCCGAGCGAACGGGAGTATAACATGTCGCGCGCTCGCTTGGCGAACAGGCTAGATGACTACTTTACTATTTTTAAATTATATTTACCTTTGCAAGCCAATGATTTTAAAAGGATGGATAGGCCCATCTAAATATTTTACTCCAATGATTTCAAAAGGAAGGATAGGCCATCTAAATATTTTACTCATAACTTTTTTATACAAGAAAAAGTAGAGCATCTGTCATAATACAAACGTCATGTCAAAACACCACATTACCAGGGTCGGATTTCGTAGTATAATTATCCCGATTGTACCATTATTTCATAGTTTGTAGTACATAGTATTGTAATAATATTAACCGAAAATACCATAATTTTACCTAAAGGTCGACGGTCGAAAATTAGAATTAGCTCCCTTTCTGGTCAATTGGTGCTTGATCGATGCATTTATGTTGCATCCTTGATACAACTATAATGAGGAGCTACCACGATATGATATGCTCCAGAAGCAATCGGTTTGAAAACAGAATTTAAAAAATATGGTTTCTTTTGTACGCTTTTCGTTTTACCCTTATTGAATATAAAATATACTAGGTACCAATATTCAAAATTTAACTTACATTAAGTTTTTTAGACAAAAATTAAATATAAATAGAAAATAACCGTCAAAAAACGAAACGTATAGATAAACTAGACGCGTGACGCCGAAATCCCGGCACATGGGAAAAAAGAAACATGGCACGTCAAATGCGATATAATTTTTTTTTAATTGTATAATTTAATTTTCCATGTACAATATTTTTGAGGTCTGAATCCAACCCTGGCCTAATCTTGATAACGTAACTAAACTAACTGTAAAATAAAACTTTAAAAATGCATTTTTATAATAACTTAATTGTAACAAAATTAATATAAGGTTATTTACCAATGATACGATATCCCATGTGTTTTTTAAATCTTTGTATCGTAATTTTTGCATTCTTTTACAACACAACTAGACATTTTTATGACAGGCAAATATGTCTAGCGCGCGCACCACTGTTGACCGATTCGCTTTGGCCCTAAACTGTAATTTTAGGACCAGCGCACTGGTCAGTTTTAGTTGTTTGGTCGGCCCGGTCCTTACACTAGTAATATATAAGCCAATGTTGCAAGCTCATTTATTACTTTTCATACTGTACAATTACCATTGCTGCTTTTGTTCTACCGTAATATGCGACACACGCGACGTTGACAAACTCGCCAAGCAATGTAATGTGAAACATTAGATATCATTGTGCATTGCGTATGTTTATAATACGGTAAGATGTGGCGACATCGGTTTTGGAAGTAATCGAGCTCTAATTCATTTATATTGTCTTATTATTACGATTTCTGCATGCAATAGCCACTATTCATTAGGCTAACTGTAAGTCTATTTGTCACTTCAACTTTATGAAAAAAATCCTTATTGGTGTCCTTGCAGTAGTGGCTTCAATGCCTGGTCTTCATGAACTTATTTGAATGAAAATATTTGTAGGAAAGAATGTATTTAAAAAAATGATTTTATAATTGCTTAATGAAAGGTTGGTTTTATAGACTGACCAGAAAATTAAAAAGTTGTCGAGTAGATACATACCTAATAGGTAAATGTAGAGTCATGGAGAGATAAAATCTTCTTTTCGAATTGTTTATGATAAAAAAGGTTGATTTGTAAGGGGAGACAATATATTTTGAAGAAACAATTTAAAATTTTAAAAAAAGGTTCAAGTAGTAATTTAAATCATGTACATGATAAAAGTTTATTGAAGTTCTTTATTAAGTTTAATATTTATGTTTAAATTATTAAAAGTATGAAACTGAATTCTAATAATGATGACAACTTATATTCAATAATACTCATATATGATTGATGAAGAAGTTTGAGGCGAAGGGTGAATATTTTTATCTCATCGATCAGGCACTATGCTTAAATTTAAATTTTTGTCAGATATTTATTAATGTAAATGAAAGTTTGTTAAGAGTTGTAATGACTGGATGACTGGTATTCATTGCCTGTAGTTCCTTTTTTTTTTAAAAACTGGGAATAATTCTGGCTAAAATTTATTAAATACATAAGTAATAATGGAATTTAAAACACTATTTCCGATATCTTCTTTTACATAAATACATTTTTGACTGGCTATGTTATTTTCAAAAACTAAAAATATTTTTTTTTAATTATTTAATTGTGGCATTTCTTATGCCAACAATATTCCACTTGCACTGCAAAATTCTCTCATACTTATTTTCTGTTTTCATGTATTAATTTGGTATTTGTTTCATTGCAGCCTTCAAATCCAAAAATTAAACATGATTGGTATCAAACAGATGCTCAAGTAATTGTAACAATTTTGCTCAAGAATGCTCCAAGTGACAAAGTGAAAGTTCATTATGGCGACCGAAGTGTAAGTGGATTAAACCATTTTATACTTTAGTATACTTTTAAGGTTATTTACATTAATTATTAAATATATAAGACTAGTATGAAAGTGGAATACTAACATTAGAAAATTTTCTTTAGCATAATGTAAAAATCACTATCATAATTGGACCGTGTTGTGCAGAGATATTTAAACTAATAAATTAAACATATAAAGTTAGATTTAAAAGTACAAAGATTTTTTGTGGCAGAAGATTTTAAAGGAAATTGAATGTAGATTTTAGGATTACTTTTAATTTTTTTATAGGAGAGGGGGCAAACGAGCATACTGATCACCTGATGGTAAGTGATTACCGTCGCCCATGAACAGCTGCAACACCAGGGGGAATGCAGATGCGTTGCCGGCCTTTTAAAAAGGAATAGACACTTTTCTTAAAGGTCCCTAAGTCGTATCGGTCCGGAAAAATCTCTGGTGGTAGTTGATTCCACAAGGAAGTTGTGCGAGGAAGAAAACTTCTTTTAAATCGCTTAACGGCGGAACGCCAGTCATCCAGATAGTATGGATGGTATCGCGAGTTTTATCGTGATGTGCGATGATGAAACTGTGCATGCTAGCTGGAATTAGTCCTAACATTTCCTCAGAGCACTTCCCGTGGTAGATGCGATAAAATACCCAAAGAGATTCAACATCTCTTCGCAGTGCTAGTGAGTCAAGCCGATCGGAAAGAGCTCGGTTGCCGACGATTCGTACTGCTCTGCGCTGGATGCGATCAAATGGAAGGAGCTGGCACTGGGGAGCCCCGGCCCAGAGATGGGAACAGTATTCCATGTGCGGCCGAACCTGCGCCTTGTAAAGTTGCAGGTGGTGAGCCGGCATGAAATACTGTCCCGCTCTGCTGAGCACGCCAAGCTTTTTAGAGGCTAATTTGGCCTTTTCTTCCAAGTGACCACGAAACTTCACTCACTCGATATGTCGACGCCGAGAATTCTGATACTGGCTGAGGCAACAAGGGGAGTGCCTTGAAACTGAGGAGATACGACTCAGGGGTTCTTTTTAGCGGTAAACGCGCAAACTTGTGTCTTCTGGGGATTAAACTGGACTAAATTTAGTCGCCCCCAGTCCGAGATTTTGTTCGACAAAGTCTCGACTCGACAAGTTTTTCCCGGTACTCGGCGACGTTTCCCCAAGAAATATTGGCACGGCGGGTATATAAAGCATCACCGGTGCTGTCCTCTGCATAGAAATGAATGCTACCGATTTGCAACATGTCATTGATATGCAGAATAAACAGGCATGCAGCCTTGTGGAACACCAGCGTTAATGGGCTTGTAATCGGAGCATGCACCGTCTACTACGACCTTGATGCTCCGATCAGCAAGAAAACTAGTGATCCAATTGCACAATTTCTCGGGAAGCCCATAGGAAGGAAGCTTCGTAAAAAGCGCTATTTTGCCAAACCCAATCGCAGGCCTTTGCTATGTCCAAACTAACGGCCAACGCCTTCCCCTTGGACTCTACTGCCTTCGCCAATTTACGAGTAGGGATGGCCCGAATATGGATTTCACCGAATACGAATATTCGGTCATCTAAAATTTTTACCGAACCGAATATTCGGCCGAACATTATTCGGCAGGATAACCTCGGGACCTAACCAATTTATGTCGAAACTTGTTACCGTAAAGCGCGCGGGATTAGCACCGGACCCTGCCTCTCGCTCCCCGCCACACCTGACAGTTATTTAATTATCTAGTACTGAGCAAATTGCCGGCACATGCTTATGTTTTGACTATTCTTCTGATAAAAAAGTATTTCGTTGTTTTATTCTTAATTAAAGTTAAAGTTACAGCCCATATACGTTCCACTCCTGGACACAGGCCTCCGCTCATTTCTGAGAGGGTTTTAGGGCAAGGAATTGTCCGCCGCACAGCCCCAATATGCTTGTTGTCGAACTTCACATGTCTTCGAAATAATTTTTTTCTGACTCTCTTATTTCTCAGACATGCAGGTTTTCTCACGATGTTCTCAAAAAATTTTGTAAATCAGCACTTAAAATTGCAATTAACAATTTCATTGGTGGCAGCGGGGATCGAACCCGGTTTTCTCGTGCACTGTGAAATTTACAGTGAGCGCTAACCATCTGGGCTACCACAGCTCTTCATTATTAGTGAATAAAGTAAAGCGCCGTAAGAATTTTATTCTTAGTGAAAATTGATAATTATATAATAAAAATGAGCGGCAGGAGATTTACTATTTGGACTTATTTTAGAGAAACTGACTACCAAAGTAAAGTGAAATGTACTAATGTAATTTAATGTAATGTTTGTTTGATTTCAAAAACATTTTATCAAGTTTCTATTTGACATAATCGGAAGTCAATCCACAGTACCTCAAAAACATAAATGTACAGATTTATTTGAGGCACTCTAGAGTAAGTAGATTTAATCCATAAATAAAATATACTTTCATCAGTAAAAGACATCGCATTACTCAATTCGTACATTCCAATACATTGGACACTTTGAAAACGAATATTCGGTGATTTAGCCGAATATTCGGCCGAATACGAATATTCGGTAAAGCTGCCGAATATGCCGAATACCGAATATAAAACGAATATTCAGCCCATCTCTATTTATGAGTTAGGCAACCTAGAAGATTACCAGCCGAGCGACCGCGACAAAAACTGTACTGGCGGTCACTAATCAGCTGGTGATCCTCAAGGTACCGCATGAGCTGGCTGTAAATAATAGATTCCATTATTTTAGAGAACAAGGAGATGATGGCGATAGGCCTATAGTTGGACAGATCAGAGCGGTTACCTTTTTTAGGGATCAGGTACACGATGGCTGTCTTCCATGATTTTGGGACTACGCCTAGGGAGTAGGAGTACCGGAAAAAATGCGTTAGGACCGGTGCCAACTCTGGAGCACACGTCTTCAGCACAATAGGAGGGACGCCATTAGTCCCACTTGACTTGTTGATGTCCAGGGAGAGGAGTGCTCTGCGCACCGAGCGTTGGGTAAACAGCACATCCTCCAGCAAATGCTCCATGCATTCACACTGCGGAATGGTCAGCGCTGTGTTCCCCCCGTCATCAAGAGTCGAGTTGGATGCAAAGAGAGAGTCCAGTAGATCGGCTTTGTCCTTTGTGGCATGAGCCAGTGAGTTAACCTTCCTGTGCAGAGATGGAAGAGATGGCTTGCAGAAGACAGCCCTTGGACAGCCTTGGCGAGAGACCAGAATGCAAGTGTTCCCGAAGGAAAACGAACAAGTTTCTCGCCAATTCTGCCGATGTGCTCTGACTTTACCTTGACAATGACACTTTTAAATTAATAATTAATCAATTTGTCAGAAGTTATCTATACTGGGAAATAAACTGAAAAAAGAGCCTCTGCATCATTATTTTGACCATTCCTTATTTTGGATTATTTCTGCACAACATGGATCAATTATATAATAGCAAAGTGTGGGGTGGCCTCCCTATATAGATGAAGTGACAACTAGAAAGACATGCAGGAAATTAAGTTGTAGATTTTTTTTAACTTAATAATGTTGACAAACGAGTACACATTCCACCTAATGGTAAGTTGATACTGGGGCCTAGACACCTACATTTATCCTCGATTAAGAATCAAAACGCAGATGCTTTGTCACCCCTTACGTGAGGTGAGGTCGTTCTTAGTGAAAGAAAGAAAGTAAGTGCCTCATTTCCAGGGGTCTATGGATCTCTACACTCACCATTCGAAACACAGCAGTATTAATCTGCTATTTTCCGCTTTTTGTGAGAGTGTGGTCCTTCCCCGGTCGAGCCTACCCACTTATCCTGCAACCATAATATAGCTGCAGCTTGGCTCTACCACATATTCAATCAATATCACCTTACCTATTTCAGTAGTAGATGGCTCAGAACTGTTTTGTAGCATTCATTGGGACTGTAATGATGATGATAATGATAAATTATGTAATGCTTCATATTCTACATATTAAATTATGAATTGTAATCAACTAAAATTAAAAATACCAGATACATACGACAGACCGATTTTGATGAACTTTTGTGTGTGTTTGGATGGGTGGTTGAAAATCACAATTGGACCCGCTAGGTGGCGCTGTAGTCATAGAATACTATAATACATACATAATAGAACGGGGGTGTGGGCGGAGCTCGTGTACTCACTAAAATGCCACTAATACGTCAATTCACACGTATAAATGTCAACACGAGATGTGTTTTGACGTAACAATCGTTTCCAAATTTCGCATGCAAATTATTTAGAAAATGCCAAATTGCACGCCATTTACAAATAAATATGTATTAAAATTTGTCTGTCAACACGGCGAATCGGGTTTGTAGTAGTGATAATACGACGTAATTGCTTGTATGTGTGCTCCCGGCGACGCCGAATCTCGTACAAAATAAGGTTGAAAGCCATTCTATTGTGTATTATAGTATTTTATGGCTGTAGTCGAGATTCAGAAATCACCCGTGTGAAACCATGGCGGATCTCTAGTATTAAAATATAAAACATATTTGATATAAAAACAATAATGAGAACCATTTTTTTCTTAGGTTTCGGTATCGAGTGCAATTCCTAATTCAGAGTCTGAGTACAGTCTAGAGCTGGAGCTGGCTCATGAGATTGTTCCTTCCATGTGCACTCATGTGGTAACTCCTTCAAAGATAGAGGTAAAACTACGGAAGAAAGAAGGAATCCGTTGGACATTGCTTGAGGGCGAAGGGAAGGAGGAAAAAATCAAGGCTATACCACAAGGTATGCAAGTACTGTAACTTAAAATGATATCTACTTGGATATTCTCAGTGATGTTTTATAATTAACTACCAGAGCTTTTCTCCTGCACAGAATATATTACAGTGCAGTTAATAATTGCGACATCAAGACTTTTACTAACTACTATACTCTATGTAGTTCTCAATATTTACTTCCTCTGCACATGATAAATAAGCACTTAATTGCAAATAAGTGTGTGTAGTAAACCCAACGAACAGGTCTTAAGATGAACATGGACTAAACCAGTCATGTGTAATGTCCATGTCATAGCTATGCCGCCGGTAGTTGTTGGGAGCACTAAGCTCGAAGTTGTTGACGAGTATGTTTACCTTGGACAAATAGTTCGTCTAGGTAAGTCCAACTTCCGAGAGACAATAGCGTAGCGTGCCTTAAATGGGCCCTGTATCAAAATTTAATGGGGGGCCATTCACTTAATCCCGATATAACTGATGTATGGTGATAGACACGTGTTGCGGATTTAGTAATCTGTGGTCGCGGTTCAATCCTGAAGTGAGACGTGTTGCCAACTTTTGGGCGCCCAATAGACCCGGCGTAAAAAAGAGATTCCTTTATTGACTTTTATAATTTTAGAAGTAATAACTTCTTTAGGTACGTTGGGCACTTTTTACCATTTCATCATGATTTTTTAAAGGAAGTACGGCCTAAGAGTTTAAGTGTAATTGTGGATAACATTTTACGAATTTTTGCTTACACCCGTTCGGGGCCCAGGGGCACCATGTCATTGATACGGCCCTTGCCGATAGGTTAATCGACGGATTAAACTTGGCTGGGCAGCGTTCAGAAAATTACGACATATCTCGTCAGGTATACCTCAAACCTGAAAACGTGATTGTACAACCAGTGCGTGTTGTCAGTGATGATTTCTGGATCTGAGGTCGTATGAGGACGATCAAGGTCGCTTAGCGAGCTATGGACGGAACTATGCTCGGGGTTTCTCTGCGTGATGAACTTAGAAATGAGGATATCTGCAGTAGAACCAGAGTGACCGACATAGCCCAACGAATTAGTAAGCTGAAGTGGCAATGGGCCGGCAATATAGCTCGAAGAACCGATAACCGATGGGGATAAAAGGTTCTCGAGTGGCAGCCTCGTTCCGGTAGGCGAAGTGGTGACCTCCCACTAGATGGAGTGACGACATGGTAAGACATGCAGGAAGTCGATGGATGCAGGTAGCTCAGGACCGTGCATTGTGGCATTCCTTGGGGGAGGCCTATGTTCAGCAGTAGACTTGTGAAGGGCTGTAATGATGATGATTTTTTTATAGATGCAAATAAATTAAACTTAAGTTTTGTTTATTACATACGAATAAATCAATAACAACACACAAATAAATTAAATTTAGTGAGTGTCTCAATAATATCGCAATGCCTGATATTGAGCTGAGGGTTTATTTGCATGCCAGGCTAACCTTCAGAATGGCCAACTGATTGTAATGAAACTTCATGATCAGATAGAGAGTAATGCCAGTATTGATATAGCCTGTATTTTATACGAAAAACTTGGAGCTTTTTCTTTTTAAAAATATGAAAATAAATTATAAAATAATGATCTTTAATTATCTTAAATCTAAATATCGCCACATTAAGATCCTACTCCGGCGAAACCGAGGCGTATCACTACTATGAAAATAAAACCTAATTTATTTTTCTGGCAACATTTATTAATTTTTTTACTTAAATGGGGGGTTACATACATTTTGCCTGAGTATATTAAATTCATAGGCACACACTAAACTTTAACACTGCATTTCATAGTCCTAAATGTTGCACTAAATTCTACTTTCGTAGGGGATACTTCAATAATTGTTTATGCAAGACAAAAAATATGGATTTAACATTTAACCTCTAGTTAATGTTGAATGATTTTGGGGGACTGTTCACCCTTTGACTATAAATTCATCAGTAAGCCATTTCTTTCAACAACTATTACTATAAGGTTAGTCTTTACTTTTTATCTTATATAGTACATATTATGCTATGAACATGCTTATTTTCACAGCTGTAATTGATGCATCGGGACCACAGCAGCCACCAAAGCTATTTAGAAAAGACTGGGATAAAATAGAAAAAGATATTAAAAAGATGGTGAGTGAAGCAAAATATTATGTAGATTGTTGTTATTATTACTGAAGAGATTCCATACCTCCTCGACAAATTCCTTTTCTTCATCAGCCTGTGAATGTTCACTGCTCTGTACTGGAAACGGTGCATACCACCTCAGTCCTCAGAAGTGACTACGCATCTGCATTTTGATTCTTAACTGAGGATGAATATAGATTTCTATAAATTTATACATATGCCACAGCATACACTTACCATCAGGTGGACTGTGTGTTCATTTGTCATTCTTAATCTTTAATTAAAAAAATAGACCTTTCCAGTTGAAGAAGCATTTCTCCTAATCACACTTGGCAAGCGAACCGATGTTTACCGCACCAGATGTGAACTCCTGTAACGCTGTTGCCCAAATCTGGAGTAAACGCAATGCTTATATTGCCATATATATATAAATTTACTTATTCAACTCATAAGACACTCAGGAGACAAAATGGGGTGATAGATTATGTTTCTACCACATGAAGTTGCCTCAACTAATTTACTGTTGTGAAAACAATATAGAAACATTTTTATAAAATCTGCGCTTCTGTAATATTATTAGTAAAACAAACACATCAATTCAAAATGTGTGTACACATTAATATCTTGAATATTTTGGTGCTAAGTTTTGATTATAGTCAATCTGTAGTTTGATATTCCATTCACGTCGACTGCATAACATAGGCCTCCCTTCAAAGAATGCCACAAACCAAAGTCCCGAGCTACGTGCATGCATCGGCTTTCTGCAACTCTTACAAGGTCACTCCATCTGGCAATGAAAGACTGATACAGCAAATAATTGTGTATTTTTCTTTTATTCTTCATTACATTTCTATACTAAGTAAAGATTATGAATATATCGAGCACTCGTGTTTATTAAATTAATTCATTATTTTCTCGTTTAGGAAGAAGAAGAAAAACCAGAAGGTGATGCAGCTTTAAATGCTCTATTTCAAAAAATCTATGGCGAAGGTTCTGATGAAGTGCGTCGTGCGATGAACAAAAGCTTCGTAAGTCATAGTGTGCCTTTGTAATCTTTTCTACAAATAGTGAGAGAAATATAATTCGCTATAATACATCTACTTACATTATTATTTAAGACTATTTTCTATCCATATCAAAAATCCACTGCTGAACACAGGCCTCCCGCATAGATTAGTTCAGAGGGGTGGGGGGGGGGAACTTGCCACCAGTTGGCACTCTTAGCACACAGGTTGGCAACTGTAGGTTTTTATTTTGAATTATTTTTAGGAATATGCCCCGTTTTCTGTTTTTCATTTCTCTGTGTCGTCTCTCCCACGGGATGATATGAGGTAATGGATTTTGGTAATTGATTACATCTTTAAATTTATATTAGGATTTTTTATATATGTAAATTTATCATCTCGTGAAAAAAAATGGCGACTTAGAGAAAGATCTAGTAGATTTTGTGACTACCGGTACATGACAATACAGGGTTATTTTTCAAAGAGTAGCCAAATTTTAAACTTATACTGCTATACCGTTTTTGCAGTTTTTGAAAATACCAGTAAATTAGACTACTACTTTTATTTGAAATTATCCCAAATCGAATGTAATAGTTGAATTGAGTACCTCCTCCTTTTTTGAAGTCGGTTAAAAAGTAAGCAGTGACATACCATAATTGTTCCTTGACTGTTACTGATTTAAAGTTTTACGTGGTAGAGCCATGCTGCAGTTATATTAGTAGTATAGTTGTAACACTAATGGGTCGGCTCGACCGGGGTAGCACCACGATCTCATAGAATACCAGCGTCAAATAATAGCTTATTGCTGCTGTGTTTCGTATGGTGAGTGTAGAGAACCGGAGATCCTTTTTAGTGGAAACGAGGCATTCCATCTTAGTCCACACGGGTGACAACGCATTTGCATTTTGATTCTTAATCGAGGATAGATGTAGATGTCTATGGGCCACAGCAACCACTTACCATCAGTTGGACTGTGTGCTAGTTTGTCACCCTATCCTATAAAAAAGTACATAATTACCCACGCGCAATATTATGAGAAGTAGGTATGTATTACTTTCTCATGGTATCCACGTTTTATGTTAAAATTAAAGGTGTCAAACGCTGTATTTACATGTTCAGGTGGAGTCCGGAGGTACTGTACTGAGCACTAATTGGAACCAAGTGTCCAAGGAGAAGGTTGATGTGAAGCCGCCAGATGGATTAGAGTTTAAGAAATGGGAAAACTAAGCAGCGAATTAGGAAGTCGAACCCTTATTTGCATGACAGTATATGTGAAGACTAGGCAGTTACTGCCAAAGTATACTAAGCATCTTAATTTTTTTATTATTAATGGGTACATCTACACGTTGTGTCCAAAATTACTCTTTATATAATAAATGTATTCATTAGATTATGAATAAGCTTACTCTTGCAAATTAGATATTTAATTTTTGCATCAGTTGTTTTAATACCTTTGTTATTTATGTATAACCATATAGAAAACATCCAAAAAGAGGATATCCTAAAATGGACATTTAGTATTATTTTTTTAAACTACTCATCATCATCTTTTTTGCAAGCGAAATTATTTTTTAGATCATTGCACTATATTATAAAATTGCAAGTACATGATTGCGCAAACTAGCTCGAGTTGACTTTGGGGTTTGCATGACTTCACCTTGTAAGTTTTATATACGAGAGAAGCAGGTTATCTTATGTATCATACTTCATTAAACATACAGCTTATGAGCTGTGGTAGCTCAGATAGTTAGCACTCGCTGTAAATTTCATAGTATGCGAGCAAATCGGATTCGATCCCCGATTTAAGTGCTAATTTACCACGTGCTCGGCGGTGAACGAAAACATCATGAGGAAACCTGCATGTCTAAGAAATAAGAAAAATTATTTCGAAGACGTGAAGTACGTACACGGACAAAGCGGCGGACAATTACTTGCCCTAAAACCCTCTCAGATATTAGCGGAGGCCTGTGCCCAGGAGTGGGACGTATGTATATATATATATATATATATATATATATATATATATATATATATATATATATTTTTTATATATATATATATAGGCTGTAACTTTATGAAGCTTATGGTGAATGAGCATTTTAATCATATCTGCATATCTATAAATGTACTCCGTCCAGTACGATAATTTTTCTAATACTATCTTGCCATATGTCAACGCTTTGGTTTTATTTATAAAATACCACTAAACTTTTGCTTCATTTCCAATTGACTCACTATAACCATTATGTATGTATGTGTTCGAATTTTTTTATTCAATCAGTTTGTGTGAAGTAACTCCCTCAATTTATACATGTGAAGAATTGAAATATTTACATCTTAAATCTATAATTTTTGTCTTACTCGTAGGCTGTTGATCAAATTCATCATCGAATCTTACGTTTGTATTTAGTTAAATAATGTAATCAATAAACACGTCCTCTATTTAAAATAAGAATTTATGAAGGTATTACTTTTTCTATGTTCGATAAAGTTAGCAAACACTTCAGTCTACAGTTTAGAAACCTAAAATAGGAGAAATTGGTGTATAAAATCCTTATGTATCCATAAAGTATAAAAAAGATCGGAATAGTTTACGTACAATAATTTAATTGGATTAACATTTAGGCACAAGTGGGATCGCTCGCGAACAAGAGCATTGAATAGATGGAAGGCATAACCTATAAATTTGTGCAGGAGTATTTATCAATAAATAATGAATGCTGGTGGAAACTTTCCTCTTGAATCTTCTGTCTATGGAAAACGCATCAAAATCCGTTACGTAGTTAAAAAAATCTAAGCGTACTGATGACGGGAAGTGACTTTCTTTTATATACCTATTATGTAGAGATTTTAGAGATTTTCTGTTCATAGGGGAAAATCGTCACAAAAATATGGGTAAGTTGAGGTCACTATAGCTCGAGTTAACAGATAACATATTGTTTATGTCTACAAGTTTTGACAGTACAACAAAGTTGCAACAATCGCAATACGCTTTACTAAAAAAGTTAAAAGAATATTTTGTTATCTTACCGTTATTACATCATATATTTCCGAGTCAAAACATAATCTACTTTTGGCTAAATACTTAACAATTTTAATATGTCATCAAGTCTCGTGGTGTCACAGTCGTTTTGACTTAGAGTGATAGAGACAGCACGAGACTTAACGGCATCCTAAAATTGACTAGTGTTTGCGTATCTAGACATTAGCATCATATTTACATGCTGCTGATATGTATCGGTGTTTAAGAAATGTGTAGAAATAAAAAAAAGATGTTTTGTTGTTTCAAATGTATACTGAGACTTAAGACTGTAAGATTTATGATCATAATAAAATGTTTGTATTACATGAAAACTTGTTTCTTAACTTTTACTTTTAACTGTCTATAAGATTTATTTTTCTGGCAATTATAGCTCAAGGGTAAAGCGCAACCAATTTCGATACTTACAGTATATAGAGCTAACAGTTGTGAAACGCCTTTGATGTCAGACGATGCCGCCGCCCGCTTAGTTATTTACGCGGCCATGTATGCCAGTGATTGTCACGAAATTGGGAATAAAATAATTTTAGATAGATATTATAATACTCATTGTGACATTATGTACATACCTATAAGTTAAAGACATTTATTGAATGAAGATCATTTTTATTACGAAATGAAAAATACATTTAAGTGTTATACTGCCAAATATTTCTATTTTTTTTTTTATTTGAGAGAAACAATCATTGCCCTCATTTGAATTCAACTTTACTTAGTAACTCATATAAATTAAGATACAATATTTTTCGAAAAATGCACTTAAAATTCGTTAAATAAATACTATAAACCACGCTCGCGTCAACCGTATGTACTGTACAGCTGACTTAGTAGGGTGCAATAGCACAAGGTCGGCTCGTCTCCTGCCATCGTTTTCCTGCACAAGTACATTCATTTCCCAACGGTTGGACTCTAATCCGTAGTTATAGTTTTGAGTATTGATATGCCACGTGCTCGGCGATGAAGAAAACTTGAAGAAGCTGATAAGTCTAAAAATAAAATACTACGAGCACATGGACACCATGAGGAATTGCCAACACACGCAGGAGCAGCGCGGCCAATTAATTGTTCTACATCTCTCTGAAATAAGGGGGAACTGTGCCTAATATGTATATAGATGTTTTTTACTTTTGTTTATATACTTATAAGTACAGAAAGGTAAATAAAATAAGAAATTATTTAGATTTATTTATTGCTATTGACTAGATTACAAAACACACATGCCTTAACATATTTCTTCCATTTGTATTTCTCTAGTTACCAAATGGACGAATTATTAACTTAAACAAGTGGACACAAAACATTGAAATATTTATGTACTTTTTGTCTGCTTTCCCGAATCTATTAGAAAACGTGTTCAATATATGTAGTCAGGATATCCGAAACTACTAATTTATGTTTATGCTTGAATATTGTGTCGCCCGAATCTGAATTAGGATTCTACAGACTAAGATGTTTTTAAAGTTATAGATACGTCGTACTCGCTTTTAAAATGGCAATGTGAAAGGCAAATAATTGCCAGACTCCCATTCAGTGGGGCACGCTCTCGCGTCGCGGCTATACTTCGCTATAGCGCGTAAATCTTCGAGTTATTCGTGGCAAAAATGCCTTCCTGTATTTTTAGATGGTGCACAATTTACACGGCAACTGTTAGAGACAAGAAAAACGTCTCATTTCATTCGTAAGTACAGTTTTTTAATTAAAACTTTTACTTTTTAATTAAAAAACTGTACTTACGAGTTTGACTGCTGTTTAATACGTGTAAGATGTAATCTGTGCATGAGAGTGAAAGAGACAATGTTATCCTCCGTATCGGTAAGTCACGCGCTCGCGCCAATGAGCGTCAGCAGCAATCAATACGTAACTAATAATGTATAAATTTCTTTGCAACCTTGTTTCGTTGCTAACAAAAAGAGTAACAGAATAATGTATATTCACCTTTTTCTAGGATACATCTATAGGTATTATTTGTCTCTTTTTGTTAGCGCAACGTGTCATAATAAATAACTGTACGTAGATATAATACTAGGTACCTTCGCCACTTTAAAATACAATAATGTTTGTGTGTAACCTGTCTATAATTTTTTATAAGTCTTTGTCTACAGATTGTAAGGCGCTGTTCTATTGCCATCGCTCGCACGATAATGCGATGCAATTTCATCCGCCGATGACGCGAGATTTCCTTAGTCGCATCTCATGATCGCACGACGTTCAATAGAACATTCCGCAGATATGAATATGTTTAAACGCTTCGTCGGACGCAACGAATGATCGCGCGAGCGATGGCATTAGGACAGCGCCTTAATCTACAAGCAGATACGCTGATCGTGCGGTTGCCACGTGGTTTCTTTACTTAAAATCTTACTGCCTTAAAAATCTTAGTTATAAAAAACAATGTAGGTAATACCAATGAGTTAGAAACTTATATTTATTCTTACACTGAATGCTCCTTGCTTCCCTGGGCGTATGATAAAGAGTAACTATACTAAATTTCAAGTAATCGGGTGTATAGTTTTAGAGATCTCGTGATGAGTCAGTCAGTATATTCTTACATATCATATAAATTTATCATATTATATAAAATTGCGTCTCAAGTTTTTCATAATAAGTAACATGACAATTTTTCACATACCAAGGTGGATTAAAATTTATGTGGATTAATGTTGAAAGATAAATATAGACAGAAATAAACTTAAGTTATGAGTATTCTAAAGTTTCTTAAATCAAATTTATTATCGACATTTGTAGCCAGTTAGGCGGATCAGTTATGTTAGTTCAATCTAATAAGTAAAATACAGAATTGAAATTAACCGAGATTTCTTTTTAAATTTTAAATATTTTAAGTGTTATTATTGCTAGCATTGAATAGGTCTAATGTGGCTTTGCTGACATTGTTCTGATAAGATTGGATATGGCCTTCGTGTATCGTGGAAATTTCTCCGGACGTTCTCCGAAGACCATTTCTTACAGGAGGCACCTTTTTACTATTTGTTAACAGCAGACTGCCGCTTGGAGATTCTGGACGATCTGTAAAAATGTAATATCGGTAACATATCAAACACGAATACCTAATTATATAACGAAATGGAAAGCCGGTAAAACGCGATACAAATGGTAAAATTACTTATTTTCATCTATATTATGCGTATAAATAAAGAAATATAATGCAGGTAGTTAATTTAGATACGTACCCTCATCGTCGACACTTTTTGTTTTCAATTGCATTGCAACTACACATGGACCTTTAGCTAAAGACCACGATGGGACTTCTTCTCTCTTTATAGGCTCCAAGATATTTCTTTTTGGCCTAAGCACGAGAGGTAAGTCACTTTTGGAGGATACACTATTACTTTAAGGTTCGGCTTTTGTCTGGTGTAATATTTCCGCGCCCTCACTTGATAAATTATTTGGGTTGTTTAAATTCGACACGTTGGGCAATAGACTGTCATCTTTTTTTAATTTGCTTTCGCGCTCTAAATTGTCCATCTTTGTTATTTGACTCTCGACCGTGAATATTTCTGGTTCCTTGTCGTAGACGATGCATGGTTTTATGTCTTCAGATGTATTAGTCTCGGTACTATCTTGATGTGATAACACATTTCCTACTCTCTTAGAGTCTGTTCGTTTATGGTATCCATTAAATTTTGGTGTTCTATTTTCTAAAGACATCGGTGGTGCCGTTGCCATGTATTGGCTGTACATGTTGCCTATTAATTCTTCTGTGCGTCTGAAACGTTATTTAGTTTTCTAATTAAATATTTTAACATACTTCATATAAAGAAATGTCATGATATATAATAAAGTAACACAGTAACACTAAATATCGTGTTTTTTTCTATCTGATAACGTAGGTGACCTTCGCACTTGTTTGCGTTCACTCTGATCTCGGTATCATACAACGAATATTTATAACAGCCGGCTTTAGATACCTGCTGAACATTATTTTCTATACATATAAAATCGTGATAGTCATTAAGCCATGATGCAATGCTGCTTGCTCCACCAAATGCTCGCTATTGAGACCTTATCCTTTCCCTAAAGGCCTCAATTCGCTTTGATTAGTGCAGGTACTTAGTAATTAGGAGTGTGGACGTGTGGACAGCGATTGATTAGTGCAAGTGATTAGTAACGCGTAGTAAAGTGATTAGAAGCGTGTTCTATTTTTTTTGCGAGTGGACTGCGAGTATCCCCGGCCCGTGCGTCGTCCATTCCCCTTCACTCGCCACTAAACACGTCTGGCCAGTAGTGTTTAGCGTTTAGCGTCGGACGCTCGCTTGTGTTAGAAAAAATGACAAAGTGGACCGAAGACATAACCTATAAATTTGTGCAGGAGTATCTGAAACATGAATGTCTTTATAATAGTAAACACCCTAACTGGAAAATTAAAGGAGCCCGAGATGCAGCATTTCTACGTATAAGTGAAGCTATGAAAATACTGGGGATTGTAAGTAAAGAAGTTTATACTTAAATAAGAAACGAGGTGCATACTTGCTGGTCGACAGCTAACAACCGAAATTACTAAACACATCCACTAAACAGAATTGGACACTACTTACTAATTACCTGCACTCGCATTAATCAAAGTGAATACAGGCCTTAAGTCTCATCCCGACTGGACTCTCCTTTCCATGGACTGCGTTCCGCGCATGGAAATCCGCACACCGATAATGCCTTTTATTTACTGTATTTATCGGCGATCAAAATATAATATAAGCGGCAATAGCCTGTTGAGTTTACGGTCTGGAAACTGAAGGGTTCGTGGGTTCATTTCCGTCGTTTGACTACCGTCCTAAACCAGTCCTAACATAAGTTCAAATTGTTGACAGGAATAGTAGTGTTAATAGCGTTGTTTTATATTATTCGCGAATATTGTTTGAAAACTGCACTGAACTATTGTAATAAGTATTTCTCTTTATAAAATTACCTTGTAAGTGGTATAATGACAGTTTGAGCCGCTCCATTGGTAGGATGATAAGCGTTAGATCCGAAACCATCAATAGAAGAACTTCCTGTTACCTACAATTAAAAGAAACCTATAAAATGTGTTAATTTTCCAAATTAACTTTTGTCTTCCTTTAAAAAAATCATACAACTTTTGAAGAAAGAAAACTATGATAGAACTCAATAATTGCGTATGTTAATTGAGGTTAGGCAGTAGGGCAGAAAAGACTAAATTTACAAATGGTTACCAAATACCGATTTTTTTATTTTTTTAACTCACGTTTTTGAATCATTTACCGCCCTGACTTGATGTTAGAAAGTTCAAATACTGGCTGACAGTAGGTTTAATTTTATTTATTACCCATTTTTTTTTTTTCAACTAAATAATTTCAGACGTTAAGTCGATTTAAATTCTGAGGAGCTTACCTCCATAACTCCTATTTGAGTTGTTCTGACATGGTAAGGGAAGTTCTTGTTGGCAAACACAGGTAATGTTAGTATCTGTAAGGAAAAAAAAACATTTATACACATTGTTAAAAATGTTTTATAGTAGAGATTTTTTTTAAATTTTAATGCTTACCAAAAACATGATGTGGCCCGTAAATGTTATAAAAAGTAAAACAGCTGTAACTACGCTCTCACGCACCCACTTATCTGAAAATCATTTTAGTTTAGAAATTCAACTTATTTAAATCTACGTTTTATTATTTGAATACATAATATTAATATAATAAATCGTAGATTTAATTAAATACCTAAACAAAATTATAGTTTACTCTTTGTAAATACTTATTAATAAATAATTATAAGTTCAGATTTCATAACTAAGAGTAGAAAGAGTACAAGGGCGACACTGAAAGTTTTTAGAACTGGTCATTTTTAAACGATATAATAAAATAATAGGTTCAAATTTTGAAAATGGAACCCTTTCCCAATTGTATCTGTATTTTATTAATTTGTCATTTGTTTACGATTTGGCGGCAAATCGAAAATAGTCTGTGTCGCGTCAGCATCAATCTAACGCGAGAAAATTTTCGTACAAAAATTTTTAATGACTTTCGATGTCATTCAAGTCAATAAGAAAGTTATGACAGACTTTGATTGCCCTTTCACGGTGAAGCCCCATCTCGTTTACAACTGATTTAATGAGTTTAAACGTGGTTGCACTAATATCACCGACCGATGATCTGCGTGGGAGACTGACAAAAGACTTATCAGCAAATTACACGCTTAGGAATCGGTATGAGTCAAGAGCACAAAAACCTCCATGAACATTTAGCTGTCAGGAAGCTTTGTGCCCGGTGCCCCATAATTTGACAGACGCCCAAAAAGTCCGTCGTGTTGATTGGTGTTGTGAAATGGTTCAAAGATTTAACAGAGGTGACTCAAATGCTGTGTTCGATATACTTACGGGTGACGAAAGCTGGATTTATTATTATGATCCTGAAATTAAGAGACAGTCTGCTGTCTGGGTGTTTCCTTCTGAGGAGTTGCAAACTAAAGTGAAGAGGTCGAAGCTTGGGAAAAAAGATGGTGGCCTCGTTCTTCGGAAGGACAGGTCATTATGCAACAACTGTTTTAGAGGATCGTAAAACAGTTACTGCAGAGTGGTACACTTATAATTGTTGCCACTTGTCTTGGAAAAAGGTTGGAGAAACGACATCGCAGTAGGATCCTCCTTCACCACGACAACGACTCGTCACACACAGACAAGCAAACAATCGACTACTTGTACTGGGTAACCCGCCCTATAGCCCCGACCTTGCGATTTTTATTTATTTCTGAAAATAAAAATAAAACTTTGAGGCAAACGCTTTATGGATGCCGAGGAAGCAGTGGCTGCGTTTCAAAATGCCGTCGAAGAGAACCCTAAGGACGAGTGGGGAAAGTGCATTTCTCAGTGGTTCCATCGTATGCAGCGATGTATTGTGATGTAAATGGACACTATTTTGAAAAGATATAATGAAACTAATAACTTGCTAGTTTGTTCAGTTTTTGATTTTCTAAGAACTTTCAGTGTCACCCTCATATCATTATCTACCGGTGTAAGAATATACACTAGCACTACCCCATTTCGTAGCATGGGTATCGTAAGAGAAGACAGAGGGAAAGTATAATAGAAGATGGGCAACAGAGTCTTTCCGATGATAATAACTCAAAATAACAAACTGCGGTAGCTAACCCGCCTGGTGGCAGGTGGCAACTGTGGCAAATTCTCCCGATAAGCCAATTTATAGGAGAGGCCTACATTCAGCAGTGGACTTTTATACGCTGTAATGAATGAATGGTTGAAAAGTATCATTATGTCTAATAATGATAATAGAACACGAATGTTGCTGTTACTTTAAACGTACCTATGTATGAATTTGCAGTCAGTATAAACAAGGGTCCAGCATAAAACCACAGGGTGCCGCATATGAAGAACGGACAGTAAAACGTATTCTGGAAAATATAATTAAATTTTATTTCTTATACTCTAATGATATTCTAGTTTACAATTCAAATCCCAAGGAAAGCCAGTATTTCTGAATCTAAATATTTTGAGATTGCCCTGACGTCTCTAATGACATTATGTAAAAGTATCATCATCATTACAGCCCTTCACAAGTCCACTGCTGAACATAGGCCTCCCCCGAGTAATGCCACAAAGCACGGTTCTGAGCCACCTGCATATTCCGTGTCTTACCAGGTGGTTACTCCGTCTAGTGGGGGGTCGCCCTACACTACGCCTACCGGTACGAGGCTGCCACTCGAGAACCTTTTTCCCCATCGGTAATCGGTTCTTCGAGCTATATGGCCGGCCCATTGCCACTTCAGCTTACTAATCCGTTGGGCTATGTCGGTCACTTTGGTTCTACTACGGATATCCTTATTTCTGAGTTTATCACGCAGAGAAACCCCAGGCATAGCCCTCTCCATAGCTCGCTGAGCGACCTTGAGCGTCCTCACGCAGCCAGCAGTGAAGGACCACGTCTCAGTTCCATGGGTCATCAATGGCAACACGCACTGGTTGTACAATCTAGTTTTAAGAGTTTGCGATATACCTGACGAGAAGATGTGTCGTAATTTCCCGAACGCTGCCAAGCTGAGTTGAATCCGTCGAATGACCTCTCGGTCGAAGTTGGACTTACCTAGTCGGACTATTTGTCCCAGGTAAACGTACTCGTCAACAACTTCGTGTATATCGCTCCCACCAACTACCAGCATAGGTGTGACATGGACATTAAACATGATCTTTGTTTTGTCCATGTTCATCTTAAGTTTGGGAGACACCATTGAGGTCATTGAGCATAGGGCTTAAGTCCTCCAGCGTTTCTGCCGTAAGGACTACATCGTCGGCAAACCGAAGGTGAGTGATGTACTCGCCATTTATGTTAATACCGTATCTTTTCCAGTCCAGTAGCTTGAAAACATCTTCCAGGTGAAGAGTTTCGAGGATATAACGTCACCCTCTCTTACACCTCTCTGAAGTTGGATAAGCTTCGGATTTTAGTTCTGTACTCGGATAGCCATTGTAGCTCTGCTGTACAAGCACTTCAGCACTTCGATATACCTACCGACAGTCAACTTGGCACCGATGAAGGGACTGTAGCACCGCCCAAATTTCGACGGAATCAAAGGCTTTCTCATAGTCCACATACGACAGGCAAAGTGGCAGATTGTTCTCTTAGGTTTTCTGTACGATTTGCCGCAGGATATGTATGGTCTATGATACTGAAGCTTTTTAGGAAATCAGCTTGTTCGGGAGGCTGAAAGTCGTTCGACCACGGCAACAATCTCCAAATAAGAAAGTCTGAAGTATAAATCATACTGAACTTAGTGCTACAATCAGTACACTAGTAACATAATACTAGGTGGGAGTAGCAGGAAACAGTGTGGATAGGTTCTACCTACATATCTAATCCTGCCGTCACACAGCAGTGCTTGCACCGCTGCGTTTCGGTCTGATGAGTATAGAAAGTCAATATAAAAACAGATTGTTAGATCCACTGGGGTGACAACACATCTTTGTTTGAGATTGCCCACTGGTGTCCATGGACTGCTGTACTCACTATCAGGTGAACTGTAAGTACATATTTCACTACAGATTTATAAAAAAAAAACTTACAAAACCTAAGTCCTAACCAATGTGTGGCTGATGTCACTCATATGTTGATAAAATCGGGGTGTGTGTGAGAGAGAGAGAGGGCTTCTATTGATGGCGAGACATGGGGACAATTACATTTAGAAGCCCCGAAAATAATTTTAATCAAATTTTTCTTTTATTTCCGGCTGAGATTGAAGGCTTAAGACACGAATAGTCACGATCAGTAAGCCACGCGATCATCTTGTGGATATTGATCCACAAGATGGATATTGATCCATAAGATGATCGCGTAATCATTGGACCAATGTCTTACTTTTTCCGGATATTTCCTGACGGTAAAAAATGTGGCATAAGCGAAAGCGCACCAAGCCGTAACTCGCAATACAATAAGCCCGTAGCCTGCTGGACTCTCGTACAGGTAGAGTACCTCGCCCGGGTCGAACATCTGCAAACATTTATAATATATAATAAAGCGCGCACGTATGAGCGCACACACACGCACAGATACACTCACACACAGACATACGAGCTAATCACAACATTAGATTATAATTTTTGCCTATAGAATATGCAGAACTTGTTGTGTGGAGTTGAAAGGAGAAAAAATCCGATCACTTATTTGGTAACTTCTTGGTTAAAATTGGTCAAGCCATTTAAGAGAAGAATCACGAAAACTCGCACACCGGAATTTATATTAAGCTTAAATTGTAACTCTTGGGAGAAAAATAAACGACTTGTGAGTTTCTTTCCACTTCTTCTCACAAGATCTTTCACATTGAGAATTTGTTAAGACGATAGTGTAGCTTTTAGGCCTTTAAAAAGTGGTTTGTAAAGGCCAATTTTGAATAAAATATTTTGAATTTGACTTATAACTATTTAACTAACCATCTGGTTATTTTTATAGAAGAAGAGATTCGACAGCGTTAAAGGGATATAAAAATTTTGGTACGTAGTACTCTTATTTATTCTGTGCTTTTGGTAACGCGATTGCCAGTCCGTCTCTCAAGTTTGGCGCTTTTGGCCCATCCCCCCTACAATGAAAAGGGCCCAGCTAGTCGCAGTTTAACGGAAACCTGTTATGAACAAATGAAAAATAAAGGAGAAGAGCTATTAGAATATCTCAAATGTTTAGCTTTTTCAGTTTTATTAAAATTTTATTAAGCAGTGCTGTAAAAATGGTACTTGGTAATAACATCATAAATTCTCTAAAAATTTCAGATCTTAAGTACCGATTAGTTAATAATTATTATCTAGGGTTTGAAAAAACATTGAATCTTCGAGAACTTCTTGGTCCAAATTCTATTTGTTTATTATTTTGTTGTTATGATCGAAAATTACCTTAGCCTGATAAACAAAAAGCGTGATATAGGTGACAATGTAGCAGCACATGAAGACAGTGAGTTTGACGGTGAAGGCGACCTTGAGACGGCCGCGTGTTATAGTATAGCCTTTAGCCATCAGTACCAGCAGTAGCAAGAATGTCATTTCCGATATTCCACAAAGAAATTGGCCTGGAAATTGATAGTAATTATAGACAATCTATGCATATACGTTAGCATTTGTAAATATGTTTTTATATCTTTTAATTTGCATTTTTTTATTCAGAGTAGATGGAGAATGTTACTGATATCATTGTGAAATTTGGGATACACATTGCAATCATTATGGAGTAATGTTACAATAATGACCTGATGCAGGAGGCAAGACTTCGATGGAACTCCTGAATCTTTGTTTGGGCATAACACGTTGTTTTGGGAACAATGTATGAATTCAATTACTACGTGGTGCAAATAACTGTTAATGGTCCACACTAGTGGGAACACAAATTTTTTTTTAGGTTATTTGGGTTATTTATTTTTAAGGGCAGGGACAGACTGGTCCCACGTACGCAACGGTATGCAACGCATTATGTTTTATTAAACTTTACATTAGAAACACGCTTACCGAAAGCCAGTAAAAAACGCAATTACACGCGTGCGATGCAACGTTGATCTGCGAATCTCCAGATTGATCCATTCTCAAACTCAGAGTTTGAACATGGTAGGTTGGTAAAAATTTGTACTTGTAAGTGACAAGAGTATCTGACGCCAAACGTACGTTGCATACGTAGGTCAAGTGTGTACATCAACCTAGGAGCGTCGCATTGCATGTGACGCTTATGTGGGACCATTCTGTTCCTACTCTTAATCTTACCTATGGTCCTGGCCGTCATGAAAACCACGCCCGTAATAGCGTATCGAACAGTTGCGAGGCTCTGAATGATGACACCACAGTGCTGTGCGACCACGGACATCAGGAACAGTTTATAGGTGGAGTGCAGCAAGTGACGTGACTTGAGCTCCACGCTGCACATCACAACAGCTACCATCATCATTACATATGCGAATGTATACGCTAGAAGGATTGGTAGGACGTCTGGAACGAGGATTAGTAAAAATATTGTCATAGTGTATAAAATAATATGATGATATATAATTTTACTTACAGAACTCGTCGGCGGAGAAATGTTCGCGCCAAAAATCTCCATCGGGGCCGTTAGTCATTAAGAATTTATATCTAACATCCAAGCCCTAGAAACAATAGTCAAAAGTAGTTAGGCTAAAGCTTAATATTAATTTTATAAAGATTTAATAAAAATGTAATCTATCTTCCGATTTTATTTACAAATATATACCTTAGAGCTTTCACAATTGCTAATAGCAATAAACCACCATCGTTCCCTTGCTGAACGGAATCTTCTAGAGTTGTGACAAGATACGATAAGTTTTTCTGTACCCCCATTTTTTACAGTACCAAGGCCGCCTAGATTAGCTCCCGAATTAAGCCGACGACGTCGGAAGCGCTCGTACAGTTCAAATGTTGAACGCTTTATTTTATGCTGTGAAAGTACATACCTAATATTATGTGTGAATAATATATCAATAAAAATGGACTGTCACGATAATGTTAATGAATCATAATATACTAGCGATCTGCCCTGGCTTCGCACGGGTGATTTTTGAATTTGGTACAATCACTGAATTAATTATAATAATAAATTTTAGTAAGCATTTTTTTTGATCAGTCGACGTGATATCCTCATCAGGTACCTAACGTAGTCGTATTCTTTTAGATTGCGTTGAACTTGAACTTGATTTTTACTCTTACCGGCTAAGTTTAATTTGTCTTTCGAAAAGTGCTTTGTAAAAGCCTTATTTTGAATTTAAATATTTGACTTTGACTAAGCATTTTTAGATAATTACTTCCTACGTTTGTTACCTAGATGTTCATAACGTGTCGAAGAAATGGAATATACTAGAGTTTTTTTTATAGAATAAGAGTGACAATCGAGCACACAGTCCACCTGATGGTAAGTGGTTGCTGTGGCCCATAGACATCTACATCTATCCTCGATTATAAATCAAAACGCAGATGCGTTGTCACCCCTGAGGACTAAGATGGAATACCTCGTTTCAACTAAAATGGGTCTCCGATTCTCTACACTCGCCATAAAGTAGTAGCGAGCGTAAAAAGCAGCGTTGTGCTGCTATTTTACGCTGGTATTCTGTGAAAGCTTTGTCCTTCCCCGGTGGTGCCACCCATTCGTGCTGCAACTATACTACTAATATAGCTGCAGCACGGCTCTACCATGCAAAAAAATATACTAGATGGTAAGATTTTTTTCTGCCTCGTAGTCTTTGTACTGCAGAGTTTCGGTCTGAAGTATAGAGATAATCACAGAGGGTGTTCCATTTTAATCCTCAGAGGTGACAACATTTTATTTGTGTTTTTTTTTAGGTGGTGAAACGAGCACACAGATGGTGGCACCATATGGTAAGTGGTTGCTGTGGCCCATAGACATCTACATCTATCCTCGATTATGAATCAAAATGCAGATGCGTTGTCACCCGTGAGAACTAAGGTGGAATATCTCGTTTCTGGTAAAAAGGGTCTCCGGTTCTCTACACTCACCAAAAGAAACACAGCAGCTTTAAGCTGCTATTTTACGCTGGTATTTTGTGAGAGCGCGTTCCTTCCACGGTCGAGCCGACCCATTCCTGCTACAATTATACCACAAATATAACTGCAGCATGGCTCTACCACGTCTATAATGGTTTTCTTTGTTTGAAGTTGGTACTTCAGCCATTTACCATCAGGTGAACTGTAAATTCATTTGTCACTTCAAATTTATAAAAAACAATATGTCTACTCACTCCACTAGTGTTGTTATTGAACAATATCTCAACATCTTTCAAATTTTCTGACAGACCATCATCTTCATTTGGTCCTATTGTTTCCCATAATTCATCCTGAGGTAGTGCAGTAGTAGAAACATTTAGATCGTCTGTTGGGAACAATTCGTACCAAGTGGTATAATTTGTATCGGCAGTGGTAGCTTTTGGCTTAGGTGTTGTAGTTTTAAGAAATTGATCGTAAAACGAAGTGTTGTGTGGAGGTTGAAATTTGTTTCCTTTTGGGCTAATATTCTTCGATGATGTTGTTGGAGTAATCCTTTTTGTTGTTGGTTTAGTTGTTGTTGTGGTTGAACTGTAATGTTTAGGTTAGATGCATTAATTTCAAAAGCCATCAATTTTGTATTAAGTAATCGGTTAAGCTATCGAGAATGCAGGTGGCTCAGGACCGTGCTCTGTGGCATCCCTTGGGGCAGGCTCATGTTCAGCAGCGGACTTGTGAAGGGCTGTAATGAATTATTAATGAATCGATTATAAACTTATAAGTACCTAATAAATTCTAGTCCCCGAAAGAATGACGCTATAATCACAATAAAATATTTCATGCAATCAAATATTTTTCATGCTTCCTAAAAATTTAAATGTAATAATATTAAAATAAGATGTAATTTGTGGTTGTTAAACCAATGTTAGAGCCGTGGTAGCTCAGTGGTTAACGCTCGCTGTAAATATAACAGAACGCGAGTAACCCGGGTTCGATCCCCGCCAGCACCAATGAAATTGTTTTAATTGCAATTTTAAGTGCTGATTTACCACGTGCTCGGTGGTGAAGGAATAAACATCGTGAGGAAACCTGCATGTCTGAGGAATAAGAAAAAAATAAATAAAACGAAGACATGTGAAGTACGTCAACACGCATTTTGGGCAGCGCGGCGGACACTTCCTTGCCCTAAACCCTCTCAGAAATGAGGGGAGGCCTGAGCCCAGCAGTGGGACGTATATAGGCTGTAACTTTACTTTAACTAACTTTTAAACCAATGTTCTCGGGTTGTGTTATTTTATACTTCCGATATTTCGAGCGCTTTGCAGCACCCGTGGAAATAGAAAAACTTTTTTTACTACTCAAGCAATAACCCAGGTACTTACAGCTTTTTATTATTAAAATTGATCCAATTTACGCATAATGAACTAAAGTATCTTAAACCTAAAGCTTTGAAAAGTAAATATGTTACAGTCCGTTTAACGAAGTCCCGCGGAAAATGAGCAAACTAAAATTTTATGTATGGAATTTAACACCACATGTCTAACTTTGCAAAGATTGTGGTGCCGCGTCTAAGGAACTTCTTTCGTGAAACGGACTGTGTCACTCGCATCTAAACTAGGGATGCATCCGATACTGATACCAATATATCGGCGATACTCGAAGTTTTCCGATATATCGCTATCGGCGATATATTTATGGCCGATTCAACTATAATTTTAAAAATTCGCGCTTTAAAAATGTAATGTAAACGCGTGTGTTGTCACGTCTATTTCCTTGCAGATGAGGCACGAACTAACTATGCTGTGCTGTGTCTTGTTTCCTTGCATCTGAGAGACTATTTTCCACCGCAGGTCTTATTCAAACAGATTTGCGAAATCGCTTTTCTCCGCAAAACTTAAGAATACTTTGGTTTTTAAACAAAAATCTCATTAATATTAATTTTAATTATTAAAACTATTAACTAATTCAACCTTCCTATAGTTTTAAACGATTTTATTTAGTTTGTCCTGTTATTAGTTCTCTTTATATTAATAATAAATAATAACCTGACTTGTGTTTTATTTATTTTACCTTCATTTTTGAATTCAATAAGCGTATCGGTAGCGAATTACGTATCGGCAAAAAGGCGTATCGAGAAATTCCTAATCTAATGTAATGATTTCTTAATGTGTATAACTTGACCTGCGCCTTTTTAAATGGTCTATTATTTTCTATCGTCTATCATTGCATTGCATATCTAACGTTTGTGTAATTATACAATTTCTAGCTTCTCGTGATCAGGTATGGTTACATGGTCGTTCGTTTTGAGTATAATTTTCAAAAATAACGATGAATAAATTGTTTAGGAACACGTTTTTTTTTGATAATAAAATAAACAAACCTTTTGCCCGCTGGTAACTCTTTATTGGCTCTAGAAACTATACATCCAGAATATTCTGTTTCGGGGTACCAGTGAGACAACTTTATCATTTGATTCTGTCCAACCTTATTTAGAACTGCTTCTCGTTCCTTACACGTCTATGTAATGAAAATTAAGAAATTAGATACTTGATTTGAAATTAATGTATGAAAATGAATGAATAAATGCAACTTTTCTAAGACTCCAAAACAATAAAATGAAAAAAAAATCACGTTTGGGTAGTTGATGTAAGTACTTCTTTTCTTCTTAGGAATCTGTTAATTTACCTATCTGTTACTTAGTTACAGTTCGGGAGGTATTCCATCTTGGTCCTCAGAGGTGAAGTTAGTTGCAGGTCTCATCAGATGGACCGTAAACTTGTTTGCCACTTCAGTTTTTTAAAAAGACATAATAACTTCTTTAGTCTGTGGCTACCATGTCAATGTAGCAAATAATTAAAGCTCTCGACATCAGAAGTATGTATAAATTATTTTTTCTTTTAAGAGGATACCTTGTAAATGAATCGAGATTTTGGGGGCGTGGCTTATTCCTTTGTCGGTGAAGCTAACGGACGACTGAAGGAGTGTCAAAATGAAAGTGATGCAATGACTTCATAGTACGCAAATTATGAGATAGCCACACCGAGCAAGCGCTCGGAAAAAAACTAAGTGAGCGCCAAAGAACATTTTTATTTATTTTAACAAAACTTCGTAATTGGATTAAAAAACTGGTTTATGAGAACTTAGATATGATTATTTACTATGCTTAAAAAATAATTTCATGAACTTATTCGTAAGAATATTGTGGTGTCATGGAGAAGTGTAAATAATTAGAGCCTACTTCGCAATTTTTTTCTATGGAGAAAATTAAATGATATCGTGTTTTCCTTTTATGCAATCCAAGGTCATATAGTCAAAAGTCATATACCAAAATTTTTGTTTGTAATCTATAAAATTTAAAAAAAGTATGTTAAATAGAAAAACCACCAAATTTTCGAGGTATATAGGTTACCTTAAGTTCTTTGTAGTTGGTCTTTTACTTTTTACAAAACTTTAATAAATAATCCTAATGGAAGACTTTTTTGAATTATTGAGGTAATAAGCCTATTTAATTTAAAAAAAATTATATCGTTACTCAATTGGCGCAGATATCGCATAACATACATACAAAAAACATACAGTGAAATTGAAACTCGACTAATTTTTGAAGTCTAGTCTAGTTTGAAGTTTTACTCGGTGTTTCCCTTAGTCGACACTGAGGAAAGCCACCAAATATTTTATCCTGAGTTATGGTTTGTTTAATGCTACCATCTCATTAAAATTAACATTTTTATACTCAATATACCAAAAGCGCCGTATAGTGGCGTCTGAGAATCTAACACCTCATTATCGCGTGTGGTCGCAAAAGATGACAGAGAGACTGAAACAGGTGATGGTCAGCATCATCTTCCTGATACAAAGTAAAATTTATAACAAAACTGCGGTTAATTACAAGCCTGTCAGGCGTGGCAGTTGCTATTACGGGAAACATATAGGGGGGGGGGGGGGGGAGCAATGTTCAGCAGTGAACTTTGATAGGCTGTAATGATGATGATGATACATAATATTTTAAATACTCACCAAAGTACTGTGGTATACAGATGGCCATTGGTTATCGTCGTCGTAGTAAAGAAGTAGATTTGGAATTCCCATTTCGCGTTCAAATTCTATTAGATACTCAAACTGACCCTCCATTGATAAGAAACAAAATCGAGCGAGAAAGGCCCAGTTCTGAAAATTGTATGTGTATTTAAATTATGATTTCTTTTTTTTTTAATGAAGCCCGATATGGTAAATTATTTCTTTGTTACTTAATTTCTTAATCGGTCCGTTATAGTCCACGGTTGCTTATGGGCCTCTCGTTATAGAAAGGATGATCGTCATGCTCTACAGACGAATGTATAATTGCATTTACATACGTCAGCTTCAGCAATGCTGTTCGTCCCCGGTTTTACGTCTTAAGTCAAACATAAGCGAGACAGTTAACATTGCTATCTTTTAGAAGCTATAGGTTTTATATGGTCGTCAATAATCGCCTGTTACGACATGCATAGGACAAAATGGGGTGGTGTATCTTACGCCTCCTCCAAACTCTATTAATTATACGTAAGTAAACAAAATACTATTATTGATAACAGTCCACTGATTCGAAAAAAAGGTTTTATTGTCCAAATAATACATTCCTTTGCACTATATGAACGAATTCGATCATGGCGACAAATATTAGTAATATTGTCGAAATCTATCAATATTGTACAACGCAACAATTTGTATGCTACTTTTGTATGAACGACTATGATATCGCGGTGAAACCGTCGGGGATTCAAACCCCGGGTTCGGCGATATAGCTAGTTTCTTTTGTAGACTGAATTTGTTTAAGATCTTAGATAAATTACAATTAACATAAGCATTGTGCCTATAATACATCACCCTCTTTCCTTCTTTCTAAAACACAATACAAATGATAGAATAATAAATCACGATTGATGATAAAAATAAACATGACCGTTATTTTCACGAACTAGCTTAGTAGTACGTGACAATTCTTTTTAAAAGAATCAGAACATACACCATATAGTGTGTATGTTCATAAAGTCATAATACCATAGTTTATATATATCCATAAAGTGAAACGATACGTACATCCTTGGTATTTACGTGCCCCTCTATCCATTTCCCGGCGGCCCCTCCTAGCAACGGTCCCAGTAGTGGATATAAGATCAAACATCTTCCCGGCGACGATGTCATATTGATTTTCTGAATATAGCTGTTTTATACACTAGAAGACTAAACAAAACGTAATTATCTAAAGTGACTTATAAACATTCAGCTTCTGTATCTGCAAAAATGTATAAGAATATAAACCTTCGAGTTTCTACTTATATTTCAATTAATGACGATAGTACTGTAATACTAGTCATATATTATATTCTCTTTTCTCTTATACTGTTAATGCGTAGGTATGTGTTAGACTAATAACAATTCTTTATTTAGGCTCTACTTGAAAAGTAGGTACCTGCGAAGTGTTCTATCTTTCTTCTTTGGCCTTGAAATGATATGAAAATGAGTCTTCTCTCTTTTGTTGAAGAGGGACTAATTTGCAGGGGGCCGGTTTATAAGATTTACCATTTTTTGGTAACTCGAAACATTTTTGTATTTGTCCGTCTATTTTTTATTGATAGAGAGCTAGGCTATTTTTTTAAACCGACTTCAAAAAGGTACATTATAAAATGAAAGTTATGTCATGATATAGTTAATAAGAAGCAAGAAAAACTGAATGATAATAATATATCTTTTAAGCTTCTTTATCCTGAAAATTAACCAGAGTAAGACAATCGTTCCTCGTGCTTGCAATAAAGCTGCTTTCAGAAGCCTTGAATCAAATTTGATAGATAAATATTTTTGGCTGAATATTTAATACTCGTTTGTAAATACCTAAACCAAAAAAATGCCGTTAGGTAAAACAAATCGGTTTGATAGTAAATAAATAAAAATATAAGTAAAACAAGTACATCCGTTACGTCAATCCAAACTACAAATGACCAAGCGTTAATTAAGAAAAAATGAAATTATGCGAAAAACTACAAAAATACGGCCGTATCGATATTGAAATAAATATAAGTAGAACCCCAATGCGTGTTAACGGGTCCTCATGTCTACGATACTACGATGCATATATTTCTTCACAATATCTTGCTTCATCCATCCATCGATTATATCCTCTGTTGAACATAGGCCACAGATTGCCTCACAAGTGGGATTTTACCGTCATTGCCATCCTTGGCAGCCGGGTTGGCAACTACAGTTTTATTATTATTATTATTATTCATATTATATTTTATTATTATTTCCTCCGTTCTTATCAGGAAGATGCTGCTGTTAATCTTCTGTCTTAATATCCCTCTGTCGTCTCTTAAGAAAACCATGGTGTAGGGTACCTAGTGCATATTTCCTTACACTGCCATTAAATACTAAAGACAACACAAAAAAATAATACTTACCAAATAACTATTTCATATATGTTCGGTAAAACATTATTCTAACTTCTTTAACTCATCGTTTACTTCAGTACCAAAAATTACTCAGTCGGGAAAAATAAGACAAATTTGTATTTTTTGACAAATCAATGCCTTATTACGTAGAAACAAAACATAATCGGACTTTTAAACTTTGATAATAATTATAGCATCAACTAACATTGCTATGAGCTTTTCAAGTACACGTGTTGTGTTTCACGTTACTATGGTAGCAGAAACTTAGGACGGACGCTAACCGTTCACACACTATAATTACATACATACGTTTTTTTTTTGGAAATGTTTTAAATTAATTGTGCTATGCCGTAGCTAACAGATGAAAAAATAATGTACTGGCAGTTTTGCAATAAAATTAAACTAAATTTCAAAATTTATAGTAAAAAGGAAAAATGTAAATGAATTGGTACCTACATTGTTTTAAGCCTTTAAAAGCTTCGTCTTCGTTGATTCTGTCTGTATGTCCTAAGTACTAATATAAAGTGTGTTTTTTTTTATAGAATAAGGATGCCAAACGAGTACACAGTCTACCTGATGGTAAGTGGATGCTGTGACCCATAGACATCTACATTTATCCTCGAATAAGAATCAAAACGCAAATGCGTTGTCACCCCCGAGGACTAAGATGGAATGCCTCGTTTCCAGTAAAAAAAGGTCTCCGGTTCTCTACACTCACTATACGAAACACATCAGCATTAAGCTACTATTTTACGCTGGTATACTGTGAGAGCGTAGTCCTTCCCCGGTCGAGCCGACTCATTCGTGCTACAGCCATAATATAGCTGCAGCGTGGCTCTACCATTATATCTATTCTTTCAATAGATATCTATAGGTGCAATTTTAGGATAAGAAAATATTTATGTTTCATTAGGTTGTCACTCCATCTAAAGGAGAGGGGGAGGGGGGATAAAGCATTACACTTGCCAGTACAAGGATTCTACCTGATCGGTCGTCGGTTTTTCGAGTCTTCAGCCTATTGTTACACTGGGTTTTGCCAGTTACTCTTGTTCTTCTGCGGATGTCCTCCGAATGGATCTTGTCACGCAGAGAAACTTCGAGCATAGCCTTCTATATTGCTTACCGAGTTACTTTGAGCTTCTCAGCATTGAAGGAGCACGTTTCGGTTCCGTTAGTCATGCCTGCTGGTAACACATACAGATTGTGCACTTTTCTTTAAATATTCTGAAGTATATTCGTCGAGAAGATTTGTTGATATATTCATCAGATTTCCGCATGATCGTATGCGGCGAGGCAATCGAGAACAGTGGGGAAGCACTTGCTGTTTTCCTTGATTTATCGAAGGCCTTTAACAGAGTTTAGCACGCTAGCCTTTTGGGTAAACTTCCAGCGTACGGATTATCCACCGGTCTGATTGAATGGGTAAAGCACTTTCTGAGTGAACGGTCTCTCCGGGCCGTCATTGATGGCTGCTCATCCGATCCTGTGGCGACTGACGCCGGTGTTTCTCCAGGGTCCGTTCTCTCTGCAACTCTCTTCCTGCTGCATATTAATGATCTGCTTATGGACGATATCTATAAGTATGCAGACGATAGCACAGTTGTGGAGATATCAACCAAGTGCCCGGGCCGTGTGCGCAGAAATTGCACGCTTTAATTCCTCCCTCTCCTTTACACCATTCGACGACCAGGTCACGTCGGCGGGTCTTCACCTCTTTGTTGTCGATATTCCACGCATTAGAACCAAACGGTTTGCTTCGACTTTTTTAATGCGTACAGCAAAGGAGTGGAATAATTTTCCGGCGTCTATCTTTCCGTCAGAAAACAATCTGGGCGTCTTCAAGACAAGAGTGAATAGGCTTTTGTTACGCTAGAACAATGCGATTTACCATCTAGGACTGCATCACCACTTACCACCAGGAGGGATTGTGGTCAAGCACTGGCTTATAATATGTAAGTAAAAATAATATCTGACATGGCTATGAAGCCTTTTCGGAAACTGAGTTGATCGGGACGCTAAAAGTCGTAGTTTGTTTGCTAACAGTTTCGTAATGACTCTAGAATAGCGCGTGGACGCAGCTCGGAAGGGTCTGCAGGTCTTCAATAGAGTATTGAGTTGTAATTTTTTTCTGTATAATTTATTAAGAAATTCACGTCACTTTAAAACGAAATTTTATTTATTGTACTATGGAATGCGATACAGTTTTAGTTTCAGACGTGAATTAAGTGATAATATATTGAGGTTTACTATGGACTCAGATAGGTAGTGATTATTCCTCCTGATAAGTCCTCAAGTCATATGTTTTTTTTTAAAAAAAAGGCAAACAAGCATGCGGTTCACCCGATGCAAGTGACTACTGTCGCCCATGAACTTCTGCTACACCAGGTGAATAGCCGTTGCGTTGCCGGCCTTTAAAAAGGCATTAGACTCTTTCTTTAAATCCTTAAGTCCTCAAGTCGTATCGATCCGGAATATTTGCTGGTTTTTCCCGTATCGAGAAAAGATGATGAAATGGACTCTAAGCTACTTGCATTTGACATTTGTTTTGCATTGTGAACACAACGGAATATCTTTATTATATACACCGAAAGTGAACACCTGGGGGTTGACGCTCACCCGAGAGCGAGTGTATAAAACTTTGCTGTATAACGTACATACGCCGATAGATAAAGGTACTCCATTAATTCTGCCAATTTTTTGGCTGAAATGATTGAACTAAATGAGCGAAGTGCCCACGTCGCGCGGCTCTGACGCATGATATACGTGGTTGAATCCGCGGGGTACAGCTAGTATAATTTAATTTTGAATAAGAAAATATTCAAAAGAAGCATGAGAGAACAATAATTAATGCGGCCATTAACCTATTCGCACACCGGCGTCATTTAAATTGTCATTCTTAGGCGGATGACGCCGATTGGCGCAAGTTATATTTTGGCCATAACTTGGCCAATTCTTACTCTAAATGGATATACTTTTTACATATTCGTATTTAACATACATACAACATCTTTATAGCAGCCGTCTCTGTAAATAATGATTTTAGAAAAACTACAAAACTCTTCTCAGGCGCGGAAAACGCCGAACGGTATCTTCCAGAGGTTACCAACATTGAAAACATTTTGATTAAATATTTATTTTAGCTTTTTATTTTATGGAATTAAAAACAGTTATAGGTGCATACTATGCGTAATCTTGATTTCATAGTTGATAGTTAAGCATTTTGCTCCGTTATTATGATTATTATTTGTAATCAGTATTCAGGAGTCCATCAGTGATTGTCGCAGAATGTTACGAAGTGAAGTAGGTACGTAGCTTACACTCAAATGGTTTAGTTCGTTCACGCTTAGCCAAAGTTGTCATAAGAGAAAGAAATCATAAAGTCCGGAACAAGAATGCAGATGTCGTTGGGAAATATAAAAATAACGCATAGGTATGGCGCATCTCTATTCACCATGGAGACTAAAACAGAAGAAAGGCTTTCTTCTAAAGGACCCATGCCACAACCCAAGGCTGAAGGTGCCTCGCAGCACATGCTATGAGGCGAGCTTCGACGCGAGTTTGCCAGGGAACAATGGGGAGTTTTATAAATCAAATTGTCTCACACCGTCACTCAATAAACTCGGTGACGATGGTCGAGCCTCACCTTCAAGACATAGTCATTATAGGTGAAATATATAGTATAATTATTAGGTGAAACAAATTACTATGCACTAAAAATAGTATGTAAGTCAAAACGCTTTTGATGTTTTCTCTTCCTTTCAACTACTAATTGAAAACCTACTTATTATATTTAGTACATTAAAAATAGTATGTAGAATAAATACTATTATTAAAAGTATTTTTAACTTAAAAAAATCAGAAAAATATTCTTGCGCAGAAGACGCCGATCGGCGTCAAAGCGTTTAAATATGAGATACGTCCGACGCCTATCAGCGTCAGTCCTTTAAACCACCCGCCCGTAAGTAGTAGATAGCCGCTACGTAATAAGGACGATTTTTGAGTCGTCTTGTATGAATGTAAGTTAAATCACGGTGATAAATTGTGTGATATGAGCAGTGTGATTTACAAGATGTGACCAGGATAAGGATCGCCCTAGTCGTAAGTTTATCGACCTAGTTGGTGATATTTTTAGATAGGCCAAGTTAAGAATATTCTTAATCGCCGAGCATGTAAACGTAGATATGTGGATGTGAAAGAAGCGAGAGAGGTGTGTCAGGATCGTACTAAATAGAAATCCGTAGTGTCTGCCCACCCTTCTGGGTGACATGTGTGGGAACTTTTTTATGTATAATTTTTAATGCAGATTTTCAATTTAGTTACGCAAAATCATGCAATTGGTCTCATCAATCAATTGTATTTACAATTTCTTGCAACTGTAGGCAATATAAATATTACAATGAAAAACATGTTATTTGTTCTTCGTATATTTTCTTAATATTACAATTTAAATTTTTTAAAATAACATCTCGTACACGAGACTCCCGCACCGAAACAATCTTGCATAGCCAAAAACGAGTGATAGACATAAAGAATGTCGAGCATACCTACCTTTCCTTTAAACAAACAACAACTAAAATATTGCGTGACTTAAAAAAGCAAGCAACCGCATGTAAAACGAACTACCTCTTTTGAGTAACTTTTATCAATGTAAGGAGTTCTAGTTTCAATATTAGGCATGCTCAAAATTCTCTAGTAATTTAACAAGATATAGCAATAGCTCAAATATAACTTAAATACAAAACAAAAAGATACGTTTGGTCCGCGTGGCTTACAGTGAAATGAGCAAAGAATTAATTTGTTGTCCTTTTAGCGAGCATAATACATTACTATTTATATTTACTATTCTTAAAAATAGGCTTAGCTTTAGAAATGAGTAATGAAGCAAATGTTTTATTTTTTTCTCTGTGAAGACAATATGCAGATGCATTGTCACCCGTGAGGACTAAGATTGAATGCCTCGTTTCCAGTAAAAAGGGTCTCCGGTTCTTTACACTCACCATACGAAACACAGCAGCATTGAGCTCCTATTTTACGCTTGTATTCTGTGAGAGCGTGGTCTTACTTCGGTCGAGCCGAACCATTCGTGCTACAATTCAATTTAAAAAAAAATAATTACGAAATACAATGACTCCAGGTCATTGGACGTTGATGACGGAGTTCTTTCTGTTTTGTATAATCAAAGCGAAGAGACATGAGATCTCTGCCTTTTTATTAGATTTACTAGAGGCTGTGCTCTGAGAAGCTGATTGAATTATTTTGTTTTTCTATTATAAACTAGTGTTTCACTACTATCCTATCCGATGGTAAGTGGTGCAATTTTAAGCCACCACATTCTATCATCTCGATGGTTGACAAACCACCACCGGGCGTTTTAGCTTGTAATTTTTCTGATTTTCTGTCATGTAGGTACTTTCAAAAAAAGAGTCCACTGGTTTTTAAACAGCCGACAACACGCAACTGTTTTTGTGTTCATCAAGTAAGCCGCGTTCTCGTTTACACTACTTCAATATAAACAAATATTCGCCCAAAGAAACTTAAGTCTCTTAAGTAACTTAAGTCTGTCACCAGAAGCAGCACTAGACAATTGATGGATTATTGTGAAATACAAGCACACATATTTTGCAGGTTTGCTAACAACAACATAGAAAATTGAAGTAATTTGTTCCATTACCCATTTTTAAAGTGCTACTATAAAGGTCTATTTTATTTGTGTAATTTAAAGGTCTATTTTATTTGTGTAATTGGAATTTCTAATTAAATAATCAGCGTTGCTGGATAAAATCTTTAAAAGAGGTGATTTTATTGCTTACTTAGGTTAAATAAGCTGCTTACGATTATTAGCAAATACATAAAACGGTCTTCAAATAATTTTATATTACAATAATAATTAATAACACTCTGTATAGTCTTATATAAATCTGCACCAAAAAAAAGTCGTTAAAAAAACTTATTTAACTATCCACCATCTTCGACTTCGACGCTCACAGCTTGCGTTACTAGACACATGATAAATGACTATATATTTATACTAAATAATATATTCCTTTCATCGCTCCCCATCTTAAATGTATTTTGGCGCAATTATTGGCCACTTGTGTATTTCATTAAGATTAATTTCACATCAAGTTATTACTTACACAAATACACATCCATATATACTATAGTAAATTATAAACATGTGTTTAATCACTAGCGCGTCTTACCAATCGAACTTTCTTTTATTTCCGGTAATGTCGTTCTATATATGTACTTACAAAAACAATCTTCAAAAAACATATAGAACTAATCATTAAAAAGTGAATATCTTGTACAATATTTAGAAGCTAACCGTTATGTAAAGTGAAAAACTGCTTTAAAATGTACGGATTCGAAAAAAATAATAGCTGACAATAATAACATACGACGAATATAAAAAATTTGTCGTTGACCAAAAGTCACTGCCGTGTTTAATTTAATGACACAAGAGAGAACAAGAAATAATCTTTTACATAATATAAAAAATATGTCAATTACAATACATAAACTTTTATACACAATAATATATAATATACTAGAATAAAATTGCGTGTTGTCGCTTAAAGACATGCAGTCACGCTAAAACTTTATTTTCATGCCTTACGAAATCAATCCTTGAATCGATCAGTTCGTGAATAGTTTATTTAATGGCATTCCCGCAGCACCTGCAGAGACTTTCTGAAAAGCTCTTGTTGTGCTGCCGCGTGCTTAATCTCCAACTCCGCAAGATCGATTAAGCTGTAATCATATGAATTCATCATCATCAACAACATAAAATTTTTTGCAAATACGAATTTTGCTAAACTTAATGAACAGCAACGCAAATTTATGTTGCAGAAGTCAACGAAAGAGTCGGAAAGGGACGTCCGAGGCGAAAGTTTATCGACCTAATTGGCGATATATTAAAAATTGGCCAAATTAGAAGTACCCTTAACCGATGAGCATCTATGCGTAGGTATATGGATGTAGAGGAGGCGAAAGAGGTGTGTCAGGATCGTGCCAAATGGAAGTCTGTAGTCTCTGCCTACCGCTCTGGGTGACAGGCGTGAGTGTTTTATGCTACTGTAGCTTCTGCAAATGCATATTTATATCGTTGATATGCGTCTACTTAGGTAAATCAGGTACCACGATACTGGTATATCCTGCACGCGGCGGTCTGAGGTGGCCACATATACGTAGCCAAAGACGCACGTGATATTTCTACATAGTCAATATCAAAGTTAGTTTTTAAAATGCAAAACACCCAAACAATGGTGCATTTCGATTTGCCCTTACTATCATCATCTCATTTCGTCTTTGCGACTAAGAGAATAATTTTTTTAATTCAAAAAACAATTTTATTAAATACTTAACCAGGTGCGACATTAGGGGGAAATCTCCTCAAAACAGATATATCAAAAATTTGACTTCTGAAAATTGTAACTATTACAACTATAATTGATACAAGCAGGCGTTACCTTGCGCAAATTATAATAGAGATATTAATAGTTATTTTGCAACCATCCGCTAAATAAAATAAAATATGTCTTCTCTAGTTTGAAAGCGGGCGGGATGTGCTCTTCAAACTAGGGAAGACACATCATTTTATTTAATTTAGCGGATGTAATAACTATTAATATCTTTACTATTACAACTTCCAAATGTGAAGTTAAAAGTGAAATATTATTAACAAACTCACCTTTTCCGGAAAGCTGCAACGCGTCTGGTGCGAAAATCTAACAACTCCTCTCTAGCACGCGCCGACAGCTGTTCGAAACGAGCGCACGCGTCTGCCTGCACTTGCTCCGCCTAACAACAATTACTTTAGGATAATTGATAGAATCAGGCGTTACTTTGCGGAAATCCATTATAATAAAGATATTAATTAATTTGCAACCATCCGCTAACCAAATACAATGATGTGTCCTACCTGGATTTAAGAGTACCCTCCCCCCTCCATCTGCGCGCACCAATCCCAGCACTACTACTCCCAACACAACTATTCCAGGAAAGACACACCATCGACGACAATATAACACGTGTTTCGCCTCTACACAAGGCATCCCCAGGCGATGCAGACTCTACGATGGCTTGGCGGTCAGCCACATCATTGTATTTGGTTAGCGGATGGTTGCAAATTAATGAACATCTTTATAACAATTACTTTTTTCAATTCAATGTACAATTTGTCGAATTACATTTTCTTATTAAATTACCTACAACCAGAATTAATCCTAAGGTGATTGTGGTGAAAACATTTTAATGGCTCAATAAGGATTGAGAAATTAATATGTATCTAGGACAGATATTAGTGTCGTCGCTGGCTCATCGGCAATGCTGGCACCGTACATACGCTCAAATCCCAGCTGTTTCTCAATAGTATATTGAATGCCTCGATACGCCTTTTTGCCGATACGATACCGATACAAATGCTCATATAAAAATATCTATACTCGATACTATTATTGATTATTAATATAAATAAAACACAATCAGGTTATTTTTTATATATATATATATATAGATACATATATACAGGACAATATATATATATATCTATAGACAGGTTGTAATTTAGTTAATAGTTTTAGTAATTAAAATTAACATTAATGAGATTTTGCTCAAAACACAAAGTATTATTAGTTTAGCAGAAAAGCGATTTCGCGAATTTGTTTGAATAAGATCTGCGGTGGAAAATAGTCTCTCAGATGCGACAGAACTTATTTGGAAACTAAAGTACTTCTGCGCCATTTTTTTCAAGTTTGGGTATAAGACGTCATTGCGCCAGAAAACGAACGGATCTGCGCCTTTCCATATACAATATGTAACAAAAATCCTGTGGTTTCCGCTAACTGCATTATCAGAATCAGTATTCAAACGTATAGAAATAATTTTTTTTTTCAGAAAACTCGACCATAAACTCTAACTCACACGGGTCTTTGACAATCCACTTAGTCCTCGGTCAATGCAGAGATAATAAAACCACATACAATTTGCAAATATATTTTTTTAAATTAAAATTAATTTTTCAAATGATTTTTTGAATAAAATTATTTCTAAACGCTTGAGTACTGATTTTGATAACGCAATTAACGGGAACCACAGGGTTTTTGTTACATGTTTTATAATATACCTCAGGTATCTCTCTACTTCTTCTTTGAGATAATTACAGCTCAGCAGAGTATACAGGGGAAACAAGAAACTGAATAAAGCCGGGGTTTCCCCGAGCATAGTTAGTTTGTTCCTCGTTTGCAAGGAAATAGATGAGACAACACTCGCTATTACATTACATTTTTGAAGCGCGAAATTTGAAAAGTATCGTTGAATCGGCCATCAAAATATCGCCGATGCCGATATATCGGCAAACTTCGAGTATCGTCGATATATAGGCATCGGTATCGGTATCGCATGCTTGCCTAGTAATTATGTGGCATGAAGTCCGCTATTCTGGTACGTGTTTGGCGAATTTCAAATATCTTAAAGATATATTACAATATTAAAAAAATATCATTTTAATTTAATCGCATAATATAATAAGATAATTATAAAAGTTATTGATATGGAACGAAACTTAAAAAGTTCGAATCCATTATTCGAATACTATCAGTGTTTAACCCAAGCAAGCAAGTCAAGCCTAGTTGGATTGGTTAATATCAGTACTGTTAGAATAGCACTACTAGTATTATTTTAAGTCTCACAATCGCTTCAGGGTATTACATGATGAAAGGGTAATTTCTTTCTTAGCTGAGTTATTAGATTTATGTCAAACATGCCAAGAATGAAATAAAACTCTTCGAAGCAATTTGTTATGAATCGCTAAATTAATGCTCTACGTGGTAGATCTTTCTTTTATTATTTCTTTTAAAAAACCGTTACCCCCGCAGCAGGATTTTCTTCCGTATTGCGGACGTGTTTCACCTACTACATAAATTGTATATGGACAAACATCTGGGCCCGGAGCAAATATTTGTAAGTCATACAAACACATGTTTCGTGCGGGATTTGAACCTGCCGCGTCTTATCCCGTCGCGTCGCAAACAAACGCTTAGCCAATGCACCAACAAGTAATCTATGAGTGGAGACCAAAGATGACGCTCATACTTGGTGGACAAAGATTGTCGTTCTTTTTTACACAAAATTCACATCAATACAACAAACAGCAATATGACCATAAAGTAATGCAATAAAAATGCCCAATCTACTAAAAACTGCAATATACGAGATTAAAAAAAATTACATCGAAGCGATTTTACTGTCAACTATGCAAATAAAATAGACATTTTAAAACAGTATTTATAATAAATGTTTGTTGTGGGCAGATGATTTGAAACTGTTCACGGAGATAGAATCAGTAGCCGATTGCGTGGCAATGCAGTGATGTAGCTATATTCCAGTAGAGGGTTAAGAATAAGATGCAGTTTAACCTGGATAAATGTTACTCAACGTCTTGCGGTCGTAAGTTGTTCACTATTGACTCGGACTCACGCTATAAAATACTTAGGGGTTATATTTTTAATCGATAGCTCACATTCATCGTATAATAACGTAAGCTAAGGAATCATACAAACGTTTGGGATTTGTTTTCAGAAACGCTAATGAGTTTCGTAACGAAAGCGAATATTCAGTGCTCTGGTACGCTCAAAACTTGAAACTAGTTGTAGTATTTGGAATCCGTATGAAAGCACTTATATTTTTCTTTTGGAAAAGTCCAGGTCTTTTTGAGATATCTCTACAAGCGCCTTTGTGAATACTATCCATATTTATATCCCACTAAATTTCTCCTTGCTTCTCTGAGTTACAACTCATTGGAAGTACGGCGACCGTATCAACAAGCTATCATAGCGTATAAAATAATTCACGGTAAGATAGACGCTCTAGACCTGAGTGCCGAACGGTGTTGATTTTTTGTACCAAATAACTACTATCGTAATCGCAAGCATAAATTTTTTGCCATATCATGGGCACGCACTGACGCATGTGCCAACTCGTCTATTCCCCGAGTCCTCACCGCACTTAATACTCTCTCGGACACAAATTATGAGTGCGACCTGTTTGCGGATGAATGGACGGTAATATTGTCTGAATGCCAGAAGTTTTGTGAGCGAGAGGAATGAACATGTTATCTTCAATTAATGTAATTAGTTTTACCGTTTTAATTAAAGTAAAAAGAAATAAATTTTAATATAATTTTGACATTTTCATTGCAACCCTTAGACTAGTTAATAGTAATAGGGCTGGCCGCTTTTTGTTCGTCGTATGAAATCGTTTACTTCACTTTACAGTGCGATATAATTGTGCGGTGAGCTATCATAGCGGTTGGTAGCTACTGGAAAACTACTATAAAGCGTACCAGAACATCTCATTCAATATGTTTAGAAATTATTCAATCGGTTTAAAAAGGCCACAATCATCTCATGTTGTGAATGATTTAAGTGGCGTAATCGAAATGTTACGTAATGTGAGTGACAGCCTTGTAGTATCCCTGAACGATCAGTTTTTAGGGTTAGTTGTAGGAAGGGAAAAAGTAGAATAATTTCAAGGCTAAGAATGTTATTGTATAAAATGCATGCAGTAGTAGGAATTCTAATAATGTCAAAAAGAAGTTTATACCTACACACTCGTACGCATTCGGATGCGTAATTCATAAGTCACGAACCAATATTTCTTTGAAACAATTTAAATTATCTGTGTTAGTGTGTTAGTATATAGTGTATATATAGAATAGTATTCATAAATAAAGCACAAAAATATAGTAGTCAAAAGAAAAAATTTCAAACTATTTCATGCGAGTTCTACTTAAGTGAAACATGTATGCAATTGTGAACAAGCGTGTATTACCTCTTGCACCTCCAGCGGCTGTGTGCGAGCATAAAAGTTAATATCTTGTGAATAGATTATGATACAAAAACAGATAATGGTTCATAAGGTAAATGAAATAGTTATAAACGTGATAATAAGCTGTAAGAACATCTTTGTATCCTGTCTTAAAGAGAATGCAATAAGATTAAATTACAAATGAAAATTGCCAAAGGACCCGTAAATTCATTTAATCCTTACGATTTCAATTACCGTGCCCCCCGTCTTCGAACCATAGATAATCCTACAATATCCCGGCTCAACTTGTCTATCTCTAATTCCAGCTTCAAAATATTCTCGTCAGTCCTCATGGGCGTGCGTCAAATGTTGCTAGGTTGAAGATCCAGCATCCTCTGCCCCGCTATTATCATGGTCGTTATCGAAGATAAAAATAGCAGGGTTACCGCAGACAAGGCGACGTTTTTTTTGTGTCGTTGTTCATGGGGGTATGTTTGTAAAAGCAACCGCAAATTTTTAAATTCTTATAAGAAAAATACTGCTGCCATTGATATTCTCACATTGTCACTACACGACTTAATCTTACCTATTTTACTAATAATATATTAAATAATTATTAATTTTACAAATATTGTAGAAGTTGAGTAGAAATAATTATGAACATAATATGTATAAATTATGGACATAATATGCATAACATTATTGAAAATTAAATGTAAATCCGAATATATTTATTTATTTTCTGTGAAGATTTGAAGAGCATTTCATTTTTAATTATATATAAATATATTCAGCCATGTGTGAATATAACAATTAAAATTTTCATTTAAAAAAATGTTTGCCATTGCAAATCCAGGTGTTAATTAATTTCTTGAATGGTGCTTTGATACGGAATTAAAATTGTGTCTAAAATGTGAAGATTATATATAGCAGTTAATTGTTCTTAAAGATGTTGTAAATATGTAGAGTGTAAGAGATCATTAGAAAAAAAAATCAACTTACAGCATGAACATCCTTATTTTTAGCTCTAGCTCGCTCCAAGTTCCTATTCGCTGCTTCATAAGCAGCAAGACACCTAGAATATAATAGATTAGATTATACTAGATATTTCTATTTGCCGTGAATTTAGGTACAAAAAACCATGTACATTTGCATTATCAGTAGAGTTAGAGTACAATTTATGATTGTTAATCAAGTTAATTTCAAAGTCAAAGTTACTATGACCGAACACTCTTTAAATCAAGAATCCAATTTAAAATATGTCTTGTTTACATTTGTTTTAAGAAATGGTTCCAGACTAACACATGTTTACCACTTTTAACAAACTTCAAAAAAAAAAAAAGATTATCAATTCGTGTATTTTTACTATAATAATGTGTTTTGACGTTACATTCGTTTCCAAATTACGCATGCAAATTATTTAGAAAATATCAAATTGCACACTATTTACAAATAAATATGTATTAAAATTTAAACGATTTTTAGTGATGATCTTGCACATTAATCAAAAGTCTAAAATGTTTAAATTTACTCAGTCTGTCAACACAGCGAAACGGGTTTGTAGTAGAGATAATACGACGTAATTACTTGTATGTGTGCCCCGGCGACGCCGACCCCCGTACAAAATAAGGTTGACAGCCATTCTATTGTTTATTATAGTATTCTATGGTCTATACACTTAGATCTTTTTATAAGCATAATACATCATGTATATGTTGTCGAGATCCAAAAATCACCCGTGCGAAGCCGGGGTGCATCGCTAGCAATCTATAATTGTAACCGCGTCAGCATTTCCGATTTTCCACCCTCCCCGCTTCTTGCCACCATTTTGTTCCTAAAATCTATATCTGCCCAGCCACTCGCGACTAACTTCAGCTTGGCCAAGATGTACGCGCGGACTTTAATTTCCCATGCCCCACAGAATTTGTAATTCTAAGCAAAATATAATAAAAACTGACCGAAGTCTCCGCACGAGCACGGCTTTAGCAGCGTGAGCATCCCGCATATAGTAACGAAGGGTATCCGCTAGTTTCAAATCTTGGTCCGAAGCCATTCGACCTTCGATCTTCTGTAAAGCCAAAATATCTTTTTATAGAATTATTTTTTTGAAAAAAAAAATCTTTATTGCAACAAAAACGAATTTATACATATCAATGTGATCCTAGCTCCTGTAAAAGGTTAACCTGAGTAACAGGAGCTAGTTCCTTCCTAAATTTAACAAGCTTTTGTTGAATAAAAACACAAAAAAAGATATACAAAAAATATATATAGATCTACGTGTTACTAAACCTACGTACGTGCGCGCCGTGTGTGTGTGTGTGTGTGTGTGTGTGTGTGTGTGTGTGTGTGTGTGTGTGTGTGTGTGTGTGTGTGTGTGTGCGTGTGTGTGCTGTGTGCGTGCGCGTGCGTGCGTGCGTGCGCGTGCGTGCGTGCGTGCGTGCGTGCGTGCGTGCGTGCGTGCGTCGTGCGTGCGTGCGTGCGTGGGATTGTGGTCAAGCACTGGCTTATAGTACGTAAAAAAATATTTACAATTTTTATAGATACATGTATACTTATTAAACATGTATACATTTAAAAAAAAGAAAAAACATAAACCGAGATGTCATCGAGAGGGGTAGGCAGAAACTACAGACTTCCATTTGGCACGATCCTGACACACCTCTCTCGCCTCGTCCACATTCATATACCTACGCATACATGCTTGTCGCTTAAGGGTACTCTTAATTTGGCCCATTTTCAATATATCGCCAATTCGGTCGATAAACTTTCGCCTAGGATGTACCTTTCCGACTCTTCCATTCACTTCTGCAACATAAATTTACTTCGTCTCTATTTCCTCATTCATTCTTTCTATATGACCAAACCACCGAAGCATTCCTTTCTTAATCCTGGTCACAGCATCATCTTGCAAACCACACTCTTCTTTTATCACATAATTTCTCACCTTGTCACTCAGATTCAGCCCTAACATACTCCTTAGCGACCGCATTTTTACTGCATTTATTCTACTCTCGTGCTTCTTCTGCCACACCCAACTCTCACTACCATACGTTAAAGTAGCGACTAACAGAGCATTGTGAATTACCATACGTGCCTTTTTGAACACATTTTGACTTTTCACAATAGAGTATAGAGCCCCATTACTTTATTTCCTGTGTGTACATTTATAGGTACTATTTTTATACATGTATAGTTATACGTGTATAAAAATAGTTATGACTTATGGATCTGAGACGTGGTCCTTCACTGCTGGCCGTATGAGGACGCTCAAGGTCGCTCAGCGAGCTACGGAGAGCGCTATACTCGGAGTTTATCTGCGTGATAGACTCAGAAATAAGGATATCCACAGTAAAACCCGAGTGATCGACATAGCCCAACGGATTAGTAAGCTGAAGTGGCAATGGGCCGTCCATATAGCTCGAAGAACCGATAACCGATGGGGAAGAAAGGTTCTCGAGTGGCAGCCTCGTACCGGTAGGCATAGTGTAGGGCGACCCCATACTAGATGGAGTGACGACTCGGTAAGACATGCAGGAAGTCGATGGATGCAGGTGGCTCAGGACCGTGCTTGCAGTGGACTTGTGAAGGGATGTAATGATGATGATGATGATACTTAGTTATACAATCGAAGTGTCTGTCTGTAATATCAAAATCCCAGTAACAGATCGCATCCAGGCGAGTCCGGGGCGGGCCACTAAATATTCATCCTGTGATCCGCAATGATGATTAGAGGAAAATTAAATCTTTTGGCGCGTGTGACAATCAATGCTAACCCTGATAGTGATCGAACTCAATATCTTTGCATATATAGTCGTAGGTATTCCATCTTAGTCGCCAGAGGTGACAAGGCATCTGAAGATTTCTTTATTTATTTTAACAATTTATTTATACAATCCGGTACAGAGGCACTGTTTATTTCATAATGATTTTTTTTTCAGTAGTTCTGATACCAGGATAGCTAAAGGTAATCAGATTTAGGGTACACTTATAATAATTATAATACAATATACATACATATATATTTGAATTTATTATCTATATTATATATACATACAAACACTTATATATTAGACATACACATACATATTAGAAGTCCTTCTTTGTCTGAAGTTGATTGTAGTTGTCCATGGACTGCTGTAGGAACTTACTATCAGGTGGACTATTAGCACAGTTTAAAGCTTTAAATAGAGTCTTAAAAGTTGGGATACGAATGTACTTATGCAGAGCAACGGCGGAATTCTTGCGGGGCAGGTGGCGGGCCGACCTTGTGCCAGCGCACTCCACTAAATCTGCTATACAACATATGCGGTTGACTTTTATATTTTTACCTTTTATTTTATAACTAATTTTAAGTGCAGTTTCCGAAAAATACAATATTTATAATGGAGAATTACTGTTATAGTTATATATAACCTACACAGTAAAGTTGAATACAAACATAAACAAAAAATTGCTGTTCAAACTATACTATGCGATAGCCTTCGATTATAACGATATTTTACATGCAATAATTTGCAAAAAAAAACATCTTGTATAAAATAACAAAATATTTACTACTTTATACAATATACTACGAGATACGCTATTTTATATAGTCCCAAAATAATTTATAAAGTAATAAATATTTGCACACTATTTGAAAATATTGTAGAACAATATTTTTAAAAGTGCAAAAATAATCGCAGAAATTTAAAATGTTATAACAGGTAGTCGCTAACACTTTCGATATCGATAGTACACAAGACGACACGAGAAGGTGCGCGGGCGACGGGACGCAGGGAGAAAATACTTGGGAGTAGCGCGTCGCCCGTTGCTATGGTTTCGCTTCCCCATACCTCACACCTCACCGTACCGACACCTATTTTTCGCTTCTGCGCACTTTCATGACTCGTGGCGTTGCCTGTAGCAAGAGTGAGAGCTACAAAGGAAGAGGCCTTAGAGTGAACTTTTACGATAAAATTAAGAAAGAGAACAATTCCTTTTCAGATGTGTTTAGTTTGACCATGTGTCGAAGTGGAAACGTGTGTTATAGAGTGGACCGACTCACGCGACATTTGTCGAAGGTCTCTGCGGCCCGCGTGAGGAAGCGTTCGGTGGGCGGCTGCTCGCGCGTCGCCAGCTGCGTTATGCACGACGACAGCTTGATGTGAGCGTCTGCCACTTCTGTATATAACTCCAAGGTTAATAATGAAAGCGACGAACATGTTGCAAGTCATAACAGGTCAACAAGAACCCTAAGCGTGTCCGATTAAATCAAAAGTACGCTAGGGTGCTCTATCAGAGACATGGTGACAATCATAACACAAGCGTATTCGGTTTTGTTAGTAAGTTTCGATAAAAAATAAGATTTGGGTTTTTGTATAAAAATAAATCGTTATCTATATATTTATTAATCGGTGAAGAGAAAACTTAACACACTTTTTTAGCTAATTGCGGCGTACGAAGGTGTGTGAGATTTGACATTGATATAAAGTTCGGTTTAAAGATCTTTATTTACTCATTAAGACTAATGTCACTTATATGAGTACATTCAAATACAATTTAAAACAAATCACACAGAACAATATAATAAAATAGTAAACATAAATTAGGGTAGATCAAAATTAAATAGAAGTTGCAAGTTAACTGCGTAAGAGCGATGTTTCAAGTATTGATAATATAAGACGGTGGTCCAAGTTATATAATGTCTTGTTTTTTAATGTGGTCTAATAATTTTTTCTTGAAAATATTGAGCGAACTTGCATCTTTTATAGTTGGAGTTTATTATACAACTGTGCTCCCGTTGCGCCCTCCTTTCACCCAAGGAGGGTCGCGCCCATTTACGGCTTAAAGATTTCTCGCTAGATCATTAAGCCAATCCCAAAAGGAGGTGTTTAGTGGGTAAAAGTCACCACATAACCACGCAGCCGGCTGCGTGGTATGCTATGAGCATTCACCGCCTCCCTCCCCCCGTTTTTCGGAGGGTTGCCCTTATTTGCTTCTGGCGCAAAAAAAATTACTCTGCACCCGCAACTGTTACTGCATTTTTTCCATAATTAGTGCGAATATTTGGTTATACAAAATGGATTGCGCGGCGTGATGAGTATACTGACAGTTTGATTGGCTTTTTAATAAAATTTGTGGAGTGTACTACAAAGCAAAAAGGGATTTATTTTATATTTGTAATAACAAATGTACGTGTTTTATACAATGTACAATTGAAAGTGCAGATATACACTGAGAGCGGAAAGTACATGAAGTAAAAACATAAAAATGTTAAAGGTGGTAATACAGCGGTTACATGAAGTAAAAACATAAAATGTTATAAAATAAGCAACCACTAGTTTTATTTAAAATTTGAAAGTAGAACTGTGATTAGGTATGAATGCCATACTATTTTATTTTTATTTGCTTGGAAAACTTACTGCTAATTTACAATAATAATGTAATTACAACAAAAATGAGGCCATTTACAAGTTCTCACTTATAGAATACTTAGTATAACATGAGTATGTCGGAAGACATATACGAGTATGGGGCCAATAATAGTACAATTAATTGTAAATAACATTTTCAAAAAGATAAGAAGTTGTTAGAAAGTGATTGCCTTAGTTGGAGAACGCTGGAATGAAATAAATCCACATCTACATTATTAATATGTGCTGTAGCATTAAAAGATCTGCATGATCGAATAATGAAAGAGTTTTGCATGGTACAGATAAAAATTGGAAAATCCATATCGCAACAAAAACGAATTTATACATATTATCAATGCGACCCTAGCTCACAAAAAATATATAAAAATGTATATAGATACATATTTCTAAACCTACGTGCGTGCGCGTCGTGTGTGCGTGTGTGTGTGCGTGTGTGTGTGTGTGTGCGCGAGCGTGCGTGCGTGCGTGTGTGTGTGTGTGGGTGTGTGTGTGTGTGTGTGTGCGTGTGTGTGTGTGTGTGTGTGTGTGCGTGCGCGTGTGTGTGCGTGTGTATGTGTAAGTATGCGTGCGCGTGTGTGCGTGTGTGTGTGTGTGTGTGCGTGCGTGTGTGTGCGTGCGTGTGCGTGCGTGTGTGTGTGTGTGCGCGCGCGTGTGCGTGTGTGTGCGTGCGTGTGCGTGTGTGCGTGCGTGCGTGCGTGTGCGTGTGTGCGTGCGTGTGTGCGTGTGTGTGTGTGCGTGTGTGTGTGTGTGTGTGTGTGTGTGTGTGTGTGTGTGTGTGTGTGCGCGCGTGTGTGTGCGTGCGTGTGCGTGTGTGCGTGCGTGTACGTGTGTGTGTGTGTGTGCTGTGCGTTCGTGCGTTAGTGTGTGTGTGAGTGTGTGCGTGCGCGTGTGTGCGTGTGTGCGTGCGTGTGTGTACGTGAGTGTTTGTGTGGTGAGAGTGTGTTTTACTGTGAGTAGATTTTAAGTATCTATCTTCTTTATTTCTTATATTATTTTTTAATGTCAAGTTGAATGGGTGCAGAGTACCTATTTAATCGTCTAATACATTGGTATATAAATAATTTTCTCATACTAAGTAACAGTGTTTTTTCATACACCAGTGTTGTGGGATGTCTATATGGAAGAAAAAGTAACACTTCGAGCACAACATGTTGTGCTCTTTTTGTTGTGCTCTTTTAGCATATATTAAGTACGTTTTGCCTGCTCCACCCCAGGAACAGATCCCATAAGTGATGACAAATTGACAAAGCGCATTAAAAGTTTGTATCAGTAATTTAGAGTCTGCCACCTTTTTTTCACCACCATTTTCATCTCTTTCATCACCATTGCGTCACAATGACTTAAAAACATAAATGAGTTTCCTTATTCTGTTTGATATGTGGAGCCCAATACAGATTTTCACCGACAGTGATCCCTGTGTAAAAGATAAAACTGTAGGTTTCGGCAAATCGGATGATGAGGTACGTAGACCTATTTTTAGAATTTAGGAAAGAAAGATCTGTTGTATTTCTTCGCTCAAGGTTATATGTGAAATTTTTTACATCGAAGAGTGTAGCTGGGTATATACTATTTTTATTTAAATTGAAGAAAACGCAAAAATCTTTTTTGGCGCTCTATCCTATCAACATATACATTATATATTGGATTCCAAATTTCGGAATATAAATATGCCTATATTGGCTGCGTACAAAAGTGCCATATAGAATTTTCAAGGTTTTTTATGCCTTTAAAATCGGTCGATAACCTTTATATAAAACCCAGCATTATAATCATTTATAACAATATCATCAATGTGATTGTCAAACAGCAATTTTATAATTGTAAATTATGGGCTTAGGTTTTTTTCTCGTAAATAAATATGACCTGAATGATTATAAATGTTTATTTTTAGAAGACATTTCTAGAGTACGTTTCTAAATTATAGAGATCCTTTTGAAGGCTAGGGCAACTTTCTAAATCTGTAACAGGACTTAAGATTTTCATATCATCAGCATCAAAAATAATCTTGGTACTTTTAAAACATGATATGAGTCCCGGTACACAAAAAAATGTATAATAATTAAATGATTAATAATATTTAATATTAATCCATTCATTTAGTCCTAGAGCCTAAAATTCTTAAAGGCCTAAATGCTAGCAAGTATCTTTTTATCCGTAAGTCTTTTGTCACAAACTCGATAAATCTCAAAAGTGAAAAGCACAGAAGCAGGATGTGGAAATATTTTATTTATAGAATTTCTGAAACTTTAGCATTTTTAAATAGGTTAAGACCAAACTTTATAAGCCCTGACACATTTTTAGCTAATAAAAATGTTAGGTCACGTGAGTGTCATAAGAGGAGACTACGGGAAACACCAGTAAGATCTTATAGCTTCCGATAAATACCCATATAATTATCTCGTTTACGCCAGGCGTTAAATATCCAGACTGGCGAGAGAGAGCAGCATCAAAGGTGTGAGACGGGTGTGCTGCGATCGACATGTGTCGATAAAGGCAAATCCTGCAACGAGATAGACCTATTTTCAACTGTAAGTGACGTTAAAGAAGAAAACAAATAATAATATTGAAGGAATTTTAACCTTTATGCTTCGACGTCATACGGTCGACTTTTGCAACAGCTTCTTTAAGATGCGAGTAGTACTCTTGTAGAAAGGCAGTTTCCTGTTCGAAGAAGTCATTTACGTCACGCACAGTCGCGCCCAAATAAATTTCGTCGGTTGTTGTAGTCATAGAACGCATCTGAAAATCATCAGTGTCATTTTACAAACCTATTAAATAGCTAAAAATGTCTTAATATATATAAATTACGTGTCACGTTGTTTGTCCGCGATGGACTCCTAAACTACTAAACCGACTTTAATCAAATTTGCACACCGTGTGCAGTTTGGTCCAACTTGAGAGATAGGGTAGTTTTTTTGCCCATCCACAATATTTTTTGCTAATTTAAGGATTTTTAATATGACATAACAAAGGGTCGTCGAAAAGAGCAGAACAACGTCTGCCTGGCAAGCTAGTATAACATAAAACATTACGTAGCCCATCCCGTCTCATATCGTAGGGTGTCGTAAAAGTCGACAGTGAAATAAAAATACCAGGAGATTGGTAGCAGCATCTTCCTATAAAATACCACAAAAACTACGGTTGCCACAATCCACTCGCCAGGCATTCGTTAGGTAATTTCAAAGGGAAATTATGTTATATATATGTGTTTATCATCCTTCACTTTATGGCGAGATCCTTGCTATAGGAGATGCCCATGTCCAGCAGTGGAATGTCTGCGGCTTATGAGAAAGGAATAAAAAGAGTAGTAATTGAAATAAAATAAAGCAAGTAAAAAGTCAAATGAAACACATTTTTTCACATATTGTGCAGTGCTTGACTTTAATCTCTCCTAGCGGTAAGTAGTGATATCGCCCTACGTAGTAAATCCCGCTCTCTTAGCGCAGCGTAATAAAAGCCTTTTCTTGCCTTGAAGATACATGTTGTAATCAGAGAAAGACAGACGACGACGAGAGAACGAGAGAAAGAACACCGATTCCTACCAAGGATGATACGTGAGGATTAAAAAACATCCTAATTTCAATAGAGAAGGAGGCTGGGTACTACCACCTGCCTGGGATCCTATAATCAATAAAATTAAAACTAAACCCAAGCATATACTGCAAGACCTCAGGACACAGTCAGTTCGTTTTGCATAGATTGGACCATAAACAATAATTTAAAAAGCTGAAGGTACTCCGGGTTTAACAATGACATCGGGACGTCAGTCATCTCAGTCCCCCGTGACCGTGGGTCCAGGAAAGCGCCCGAAACGTCGGGAATTAAAAAAAAATAATAGTAAAATAAACGCGATAAAATCCGTAAAAGTAGTTTTAATCAATGTGTAGTGTTCGCGTAAATATAAGAAATCATTATGTAGAGAGTATTTGTTACCAATTAGATGCTAAAGTTGCCACTAGAACTATCAGTTCACATGTGATGATAATGTGTCCTATAGTCTAATAGTAGACTAGCTTTTTAAAATTTCTGGTGTATAATTTTAGTAACATACCTAAAACACAATTTCACTATTTATAAGATAGATAAATCAAACAAAAACTAACCAATCCACCAATGAGGTCCATTTTACCACGTGGCTTGGCGCACAGATCCTGTTCATACTCGAGGAATACACGGAGGTGTGCGTCGTTGCGGAACACAGGATGCGCGGCCAAACGTTGTAGAAAAACTTCATGCATCGCCACTGTCTTCTTGAAAGTTGCCAAATACTCACTGCCAAATAATTTTATTTAGTAAATACATTTCAATAAAAACACATAAAGTACCTACCTATAGTAAAGTCATCATAACGTTACTTATAAGAGTAAAAAATATTTTTGAATACTGGCAATGGTATTTCCCTTTATCGCAGCTTGCATGATCTAGTGCAACTTGTATGGATAATAGTTTTACAGATGTTGAACAAATCGACAAATTAATAATTCAAAACTAAGTTCAGATCACCTTGGACAACTGGTTTCTTAACGAAAATTGTGTTGTTCCGGTTAATGCAAAACACCTGGAGAGATTTAGAAGTAATATGGTAAGAAACCTTTCATCGCTTTCTTACAAGAATAATTGAGACTTATACCAAGTATTATTTACCTTTATAAACAATGAATTTATTAAAACGTTTACTTCCAAAACATCGTCTAGTAATAGTCGCAAGGCATTTAATGAGTGGGCGACAATAGAAATTCATAAGAGCAGACGAAGTTTATATGAACTTTACCATGAAAGATTACATAAACTTTCCGATACTTTTAGAGAATATGTCATAAATCATTCTAGAATGTTTAAAAGAGTGTGCTATACAGTTAAATATTAATATATTGGCAACAAAATTAAGGCTGCTAAAAATAAAATTGAAATGACCTGGAGTATAATTAATCGCGAAACCGGTAAAAATAAACGTCGTAACACATAATATCAATTGAAAATTAATAATGAATTGACTAGATCAAATCAAGAAGTCGCAGCGGTGTTTGAGAAATATTTCACTGATATTCCTATCTTGACAACAGAGTCATTGAATACTTCTTCAACTGTCGCGTTGCGTCATGTGGTTAAAATAATTTAGATTTGAAAAAGTATTACCATAAAATATTGTAAAATATTTCAAAACCCTTGGTGTAAAGAAAACAGCAGATTTATGGGGGATTTCCGTTACAGTTATTGCGTCCATAATGAATTTATTTGCACCTCCACCATCTGGTAGTATATTGGACCCTGTACTACCAACTCTCAGGTTAGGGATCTATAGACCGTACTTTGATTTTGACTTTATTATCGAGCTAAGACAATGTTGGTAACTAACAGCTAACATCGAAGTCGTGCTGAGTGCGCGCTTAGAAAAGCCTAAGTCAACAAAATCGACGACTTAAGAACAACTGGAAATTAACCAAAACCCCCGAATTAATTTTAATTACTGTTTTTATGTTACTTTAATTATTTATAACAATAAATAGGTCATTTTAAATAACATTAATTTATTTCCTATTTACGTAATTTTAAACTTATTTCAATCCTTTCCCTCCCACAATCGTCGAATCAGCAGAAGAAAAACAGCAATTTTAGCCAAACAGAAAAGCACAAAAAATGTCTGGTCCAAATTCCGGAAGCGTTTCTAAATTATAAGCTCTTTTAAACTTTTAGGTATTTGTAATCAGACATTATCGTAAAAACTAATCTTTTTTTACCAGACTAGTTAATAATTTTGTCTTACTCATCAACTTTATATCGTTTTAAAATAGATTGAGTTGAACAACTGATATTTTCAAAAGTTATCGTGGACCCCCTCCATGTGGACTTGATAAATCTAAGCCACTGAAAACACTTTTTTAATATAAAAACATCAATTAATCGATTTAAAAAAAAAAATAATATCCAACTATCATCTATCTTTCTGAGAATGTGCTTTTTATATGTTCAATATGATTATTAGATAAGATTTCATGCGACAAAACGTTGAATTCCTGATTTTTAGACGTTAGTAAAACATACCTACGCGCTTTGCGCTTAAGGCGCGCAAAATAAAATAAAGCTTCTAATAAATAAAGTTATGATAAAATTAGGCATGAACATAGTTCGATTTAATTTCAAATGATTCCATAATGGTTTGGTCCTTACTTTGGAATTTAAAACCAAGGTGTCACAAGTCGCTTACGCGGCAGGGATTACAATTTGTATTTTGATCTGACTGTTATGATAGTGATGATGACTTAACATGTTCCCATTATTATTTCTTTGTTTTGTTTATTTTATTTTAATATACAAAGTAGTAATTTATTTTCGGTTTTTTATTGTTTGAACATTTAAATCATAAGCTTTTAACTATTATAATTTATTATTTTTTGGGAAAATAGTACCATATTTGTGTCTATTAAGAAAATATTATCTTCGCTTAATACGATTTTGAAACTCATTAAATAGGTAATGTATATAACTAATTGATCTAAAATTTAATATGGGCACAACATTACATGTTGTTGTGCCCATATTGTGATCCTCAATTCCCCTGACTGACGATGATTTAACTAAATATTATATGAGACTATATGATGTAAATTTGATTAAATTTATTTAAAAGTTTCAGAATACATAATTATGAACGAAAAATATTGATAGAAATATAAATTAAACGTGTAGCATAGGTAGAGAAAATTATCGGAGGTTAGCATATCCACATATTACAATAAGCCTGCTCAGGTTTGGAAAGCCTAATAAACCTATTAAATTATTAAGGTTGTTCGGATGCGATAAAATGCGGGCTGAGTTTTAATGTATTGTTAATGAGGTAAATGATAATCTACTAAGAATTGTATAAGAATATCGTCCATTTTCTTAATCATGTATGTACGTGAATGTTATGGTACAAATTAAAGTACCTGGATGACCGAGCTTTGCTCGGTATTTTTTTTTAAATCGTGCGTTTTGGAAATCATATTTAGATACAAATTACATACTGATGAAATATGAATAATATTTTTTGATCTTACCGACATAATAGAAAAAACTGAACCGGTTATTTGAATAAAAACTCGTAGTTTAATTTAAATTTTCGTGTTTTTAAAAAAATATCAAAAAAAGGGCTCAAACCAGGGTACTACGATTTTAATCATTAACATGCTGTCATAATTTACCTTCTTATTTTAACGATAATAATATTATTTTAATAATAATAATGCAGCAGGATAAAACGACATTTCCTAAAAATGAATCCTAGCCAGATCGATTTATTGCCCCCGAATTCCCCTGGACATTATGAAAATCGTTGGAGCTGTTTCCGAGATTCCGATTATACAATATATAATCACAAAATACACGGATAACAGGTAATCAACTATAAATTGTACTGAGACTAATTTAATAACTGATAATAATAATTAATTCGTTTCCACGAATTAATTATCCGAATAGTCTAGGATGAGCTAGTAGCGGTATACAAGTGAACCGTGCCACGCCAGAGCCACGACTGCCTTAACGGCGGCCGCTTCGCCCTTTTTATACAATCGAGACAAGTAGCTACACGAGCGCCACTGCAGGTTCAATGCGCAGTTGTGCGGTGCACGTGTTGTTTACAATAATTCCCACTACCCACAGAGGCACTGCGACATATATATACAAGAATTGCTCGTTTAAAGGTATAGGATAACGAATTACATGAGCTGAAATGTAATGAAGTGAATGAAATTATTTTGGTAATTGTTTTGATCATGTATGTACGGGAGCAGTGTACGTGAAAGAAATGGCCCAATCATCTAAAAGAAAAGTTGTCCTTCGGGTGTCGATGGACTAAAGTAGTCACTTACTATGAGGCGGACTGTTAGCCCGAGACACTAATGTTTTAAAAAAATACTTAGTAAAACAATAATTCAACAAGGAACCATTATCCTGTTGTTTAGATTTTTGTTTATTATGTTTTGAGTAATAATAATGAAGTAAGGTACTTACTCCTCCAACTCCTCCTTCATTTTTAAAAATTCTTCTCGCGTAAGCGCACCTTCTCCTTCACCAAGCCGTTGAAGTTTTTCACGCGACGCATCAAAATCTGGCCGTGGCGGCGCTGGCGGTATCTGTATTTCATACATCACAATTTTTATTTATAGAAAAATCACCTTTTTTATAAAAGGGTGGTGGCAAATGAGACTTTGTGCTCATGCTATTCACTCATTTCTGTCAATCGATGGATGGAATGTAATGGACTCTGTGATCCATAATCAGATGAGTATTTTGAATTAAGAATAGAAATTTTGATGCGTCATTACTGCCCTTGAGGACTAAGATGGAATAATGGTGGATTTCGAATATAAGAGAAAGCAATATTCAACACAAAAATAGTTCTCTATCTTAATAATTTTAATGTATGGATATCATATGACATGAAGTAACAACCAAATAAGTCTGAGTATTTTTTCATCAATAATAGTCTGTTTATAGGTTGAAGTAACGAACATAAGTATTTTACGAGATGAACCTTACCTTGGCTTAGCTTCAGCTGCATCACCACTTACCATCAGGTAGGATAGTAGTGAAGCACTGGCTTGGAATAGTTAAAATTAGGAGGACTTGTAGTAATCACATTATTATTTTAAAATAGATACTACTCTCTGTCACCAGTAAGTTTGGACAATTTTTTCATGGATATATTCCATTTACAGTCCAAGACTTCAAGAGGTGAAATATGTAGGTCAGGGCTTAATAATAGTAAACAGATACCAAATTTTATTATGCCAGCACCACCCTGTACTGGCTAATTGATAATTTAAGGTATTATGACTAACCATGTTAGCTCTACAAACAAATATTAATCTCCTTTCTTTGTTTATCATGATCATCATCATTACAGTCCTTCACAAGTCTACTGCTGAACATAGGGCTCTCTCAAGGTGACTCAGGACCATGCTTTGTGGCCCTTTTTGACTTTGGCTTTTTTGAACACAATGTAAAGCCTATGTTCTTTATTTATACTTAAAATTAATCATTTGATTACAACTTAAACATAAGCACAAAAAAACTAATAAGTAAGATAAAATCTATAAAGCCTTTTATAAGTGTTGGCAATAGGGTCAGCTTCTGGGTTCATCATCAGATAAGCTCCATCATACCAAATTAATGCATTATCATTGAAGTCACATGTCAAATTTCATCCTCAACTGCTTCAAAAATTGATAGCGAATTTTGAATAGTTAAAATACACTCATTTGCAAAGGAGGGAGTGGTTTTAATTGTTTTTCTTGGTTGAATAAAATACAATACGAAAAATATTTTAGTCATTTGAACATGTCTGTCAGTTTATAAAAATGCAGTGATATTTAAAACGTAAGTTCTAAATTCAAATTTTTGCCGGAGTCTGTTTTTTGAACAAAATGACTTTTTACTACATTTTTTGGCACAAACTCCCAAAAGGTGATATCGACTCTAAATTACTTTTAGTCCATTTTTATTGAATTATCTCACTTCCTTGGCATTTTAAAGTATTATTATGGATGTTTAGCTGTCTCGAAAATGGTATATAGTTAATTAAATAAATAAATATAAACGACAACCGATGGAGAAAAAAGTTCTTGAGTGGCAGCTTTGTAACATTAGACGAAGTGTAGGACGACCCCCCACTAGGTGTGACGACCGGTACAAGTAGGAAGTCGATGGATGCAGGTGTCTTAGGACTGTGTTTTGTGGCATGCCTAGGGGGGAGGCCTATGTTCAGCAGTGGACTTGTGAGGGGCTGTAATGATGATGGTGATATATATAATTTAGTACTTACAATATAACCAGCATATTCCTCATTCTCTTCATATCTGTCATGGAGCCACACAAATTCTTCATGCTGACGAACTACCGAAAATTCAGACTTTTGAAATTCTGGTAATGTAGTTTTGGTATGTACTGTAAACTTTACTTTCTCTTTTTCACTGAGAGCATCTGATATGTCCACCTGTCATTAGAAAGATAAGATAAGACAAATTAACATTATTGGACATAATATACTAATAAACTTTTAGCATATAACAAAAAATGTGTAAAACTATACAAAGTACATAAGCATTTAGTTATATAAAAGATTAACTTACAAGTAAGCTATTGTCAGCTAATGAAACATTCTCACTGGGTTTCTTCTTTTCAGTCTTGTTTTCACTAGGAGAGGGAGATGTTACCGGTGGTGCAGAAAGGGGGTCATGATTTGTTTCTTCCACACAGTCCTAGACGTTAAATTAATATTAAAAAAGGGTGTCCCTATGATTAGACATTTTCAGTGTTTTAGATAAATTTAAAATATTTTAAAATTACACAGATCAGGAATAACAACTCATAGGCCAAACAAATACTTGAAGTAGCATAACCCCCCGCCAAATGCTGCTAAGTTAAACAATTTTTATGTGTTTTCTATTTTTGAAATATTTTAAGAAGGTCATAAAAATGCTTCTTCTGTGAAATCTATGTTGTACTGATCTAACAGGTTGTTAAAATAATGTTGAATGTGCTATGGAGTTCCCAAAGATGAACAATGAAGAAAACAAACATTCTAAGCACAAACAAATTCATAATTAGCCGATATTTATTTCCATGCACACATACATTACACACAAAATATCATTAAAATATAATATAATAAAAGAATAAAACATATTGCAGAACTACACTAACAATTCAATAAGCTACAGCACAGCACAGTTGAAATGGTAATTATGAGACAAAAATAATATTTAAGTACTATTTTATTATTATTGAACATGAAAGAAAATAATACTTTAATAATCAAATATCCAAATATTTTCTGATGTAAAAGGATCAGTTCTCTTCGAAATCATAGTTATAAATGCTTATTTATTGGACGTAACTAATGCACACATCACGTTGGAATGATAATGGTACAAACTTTAACTATTTATACTTTTTATTACGAAATTAATATAACATTAAATGTAAGAAGGCTGTTCTAGTAAAATAGCTCTCATTCGTTACATTAAAAATCACTAGTCGGGATCCACGTCACAAAATAGTTCTTATTAGACATTTAGAACAAAATATCCTAAGAAGAATTTGTTTAGAACTCCTGTACTTAATAAAATATGATACATATACGATAAGCCTTCGTAGACATTAAAATTTTATTTGCGTATAATTTGTATTATTTATAGGTCGGGTACGCCCCTTAATTTAATGAAAACAAAGGTTAATGTCATTATTGTAACATTTTAGGCATGAAAGAAATCTCACCATCATTTTTACAACACTTTTAGGGACCGCAGTATTATAAAAATTAAAGTTTGTAGAGGTTTTCTAACGTTCTTGTAATTAAAAACCGGTAGCGAAATTACCAATTCTTGCAAATTCTATAAACAACAAGTTGTCAATGTCAAGTAGGCATGTCGACCTGAGATCGATTAATCGAAGAATCGATTTCTTGTGCCAAAGAGATTGATTTTTTAATCGATATGTAGCACTGAACCGATCCAGTGAATCAATATTTAACCCTAGAAAATCGAGATCGAATCTTTTTCTGTTTTCATAAGAACTATAAAATTATTTACAATTGGTTTTAGGTAAATGAATTTATATTGGAAAGCCACATTACATAAAGTTAAAGTAATTTAAAATCCTAAATACTGTTACGAGCTTGAGGTTCGTGACAATAAAAACTGCCGATTGAATTACCAAAATTTACACTTTAATTCACTTTACACTAATTAAAACTTAAAACACTAATAATTAACCACACTGGTTCACTTTATTTCGCTCCGAAGCTTCGCTTGTCTCGCCAAACTCAATACTTCCTCGATCGCATTTTGCAGCGCCTTTAAATACACATTATCACCGAAACATCCAGAATATTCAAGTAAATACGCGCACCAATCGACAAGGTGCCGAAAGTTCGAGTGTCGGGCTTCTAGAAGCTTAGTTCTTCATTTCGATACTAGATGGCTCTGTCGGTTGAAAGATTAGTGATGTCATTTTCTGGAAAGCTCTTCTCGCTCCGTTACCCGACACAGATGGCGCTAGTGCCGGGTACATGACGTCAACTTAGGCGCGCAACAATACATTACCCAAAAACAATTAAAATTGTAATATTTACAATATAAAATTAATTATGCACAATATAAGAAAGAAACTATAATATAGAAAAACTAAAACTAAAAATTTAAATTGTCAAAAAGTCCTGCTCCCCGTGGTATAGTGCCAAGAACCTTGGCTGGGTTTCCTCGCTGAATAGCTATACTTAGCCCTTGAGCGAGAAAAGAACCAGCCTTCTTATCACCAGCAGCGTCGACCAGTCGTGGAAACAGTTCCTTTAAGAACTTCACTGCACGTGGACCCCACGGACCGATAGTCTCTACAGCAAATGGCACAAACATGTAGTCGTTTCTCAAAGACTCATATTTGCGCCATTTACTTAATTCAGCTGCCTCTGATGACGCCCCGACTATAAAAGAGGTACCCTTGAGATGAGAGGCCGCCAAAGTGTCAACACAAGTAGCATCCCACACTAGGGCTTTACCTCTCCCCCAAAGGACTAAAGTCATACCGTCGGGTCTCTTGCCATCGTCTCTAAATATTCCACAAGGCTTTAAAAGCGAGGGGATATTTATGGAGATAAGAGCCCTTCAGATGACTTCGTTCAAAGAACCATGACGGGAAAACCTACCTGCACTTTCATTGCATGAAAATCCGTGGAGCCCAAACTCATCGACGCTGCTACTATAGGGGCATTGGTGAGGTTGGCAAATTGCCGCTCCTAGCCGGATTCCTACGGCGATGAGCAAGCTTTCCCCATCAAGCAATGTGCCGAGATTACTTGATGGTAGAGCGTGTAACCAGTGACTAGATTCCTTAGTCGAAACAGCTAGAAGGCGAGGCTTTGTGGAAATTTTGAAATAAATTTTTCTGGACACTCCGAACCAACAGAATACCCACTGTTTTTGTTGGTTAACTTCCAGTGGGACATTTTCGCCAGGACAGAACGTTAGCCATGTTTTCCTTGCCTCCGCAGCAAACCACAGGTCTACTTTATAATTTAAAATTGTGTTACATAAATCATTGACACTATACACGGAAACAAGGAAAGCAGGCAATGCGACGCTAGAAATATTTCTTACACCAATACCACCAAATTTGATAGGTAAAGTGGCTTGATTCCAGGCTATTGTATTTAATCTCAAATTTAGAATATTTTCCAAAGCAATTTTAAGATTACTATCTATATCTTGTAGAATATCCGAACATTTCCAGACTGGACTTAGCGTAAAAAGTATATAAATTTAGGTACAAGGAGACAATATTTTAAAATATTGCACTATGGGAGTTTAAGATTAATTTATAAACGTGATTTAAAAATTGATCAAATTTTGTTTTTAAAATGGGTTTAATACTATCGAAAAATAACCGAGCACGGAGCAGATAAAGTGATTCCGTATTGACAGTTTTTATTCCTGGAAAATCTGATTAAAATTTTGAATTAAGGTATCTCTGTTGGAATCAGATAAATTATTGTAAATAAATATTTCGCATTTATTGCTATTTGGTTCAAGACCAATATTTTTAAATTTTGAAAAATATGAGTAAGTTTGTAGGAGTAAGCCTACTATGGCTACTACTATCGACGACGGTGCAATAGAAACACAACTACCAATTTACAACTCCACTAAGAAAAATTCTAATTGCCAAATTAAGTATCGCTTTTTCATCAGCTTTACATTAGGTACCAGTAGGTGTGAGCAAAATAATGCAAAGAAAAATTCAAACAAAACATTTATTCGCCCTTTACAAAGAAAATAAAACCAATTTAACAGTATTGAAATAACTTTTAAATTATTTATTGTATCTTATATCTATATTACTCATTTAATTTAGTAAAATCTTTATACCTGTCACAGTTTCTCAAATCGTCCAGTGTTAACTGGTAGAGAATGCCATAAGACAATAAATCGGCATTTAATATCCCTCATTATAAGGCGTGTAAAAAAGATAAACAAATAAATAAAACATGTAAATACAATAGTACAAAAACTTAAAAAGTAAAAGTTTGTTCTACGTACTTGCAAATCTTTTCGGACATAAACTGCATCAAAAGTGTTTATTACGCAAGTAGTATTTGTTCTCCCTATTATATTACGCATAAACAACAAATTAAAAAAAATCAGACAAAGTTCGTAAAGTATTTGAATTATAGCATTCCCGCGTATATAATTATTACATTATACGTTCTTATAAAAAAGACGTAAGATACGAGTATAATGATGTTACAGCGTCCTACGTATTTTCTCGTTTCCAAAATTTTCATTGTTTAGGATCTCTTGCAATCTATCATTTAAGGTTATATTTTTTTTAAGCCTCCACGATCTTTGAGGGAGAGATTTGATTTTCAGTAGACTTTTCTCGAAAGCTTCTGAGCTTTAGCTAATTTTTTCCCTAGTTATGTATACGTAAATTATCTAAAGTGCAATTTTAACTTGTGGATGGAGCTAAATTGTCACTAATGTTCATTGGTTCTTGTTCTAGATTTTTAATATCAGTATAAAGTTTAGAAAATGCCTGTGAAGTAAATAACTATTGTTTAATAGTTCCCAGACAGTTACTTTTAAAAATCCTTACACTATTCTCACATTCAATCAATTTTTCACTTCCTGTGGGGGGGGGGGGGAAGTATGTATAATCTCCTCTGGTTCATAAAACAACAAACATATCGCACCTTTAAAGTAAAACCGTTACTAAACGAAATTATAAAATTTTACAGGAGAGCCAATATTAGAAAAAAGTCACCATGTTTTGTCAATAAAATCTGAGTGTAGGGTTCTTTAAGACATTTAATGAGGTCTTATTATAGATCTCTGTTTACATTATGACACGTGATTTACGTAAGTAATTTTTTTTCATTTACAGTATTATTTATTTTGATTTATATTATTATAGTAACACTTTACCATTTATAATTTGTTCATTATGGTATATTACTATGAAATTACAGTGCAACTGATGTTACTAAATAGAAAACTATTAAAATTTCATAAATACAATAATATTATTTAACATTTAAATTAAAAATCATAAAATTGGCATTTGCTGTGGTGTTATAATATTACCAAATGAAAAAAATATTCCAAAATTAATAGTGTTTTATTATAATTTAAAGAGAGATCCATACAATCATTTGACATAGTTATTTATCAATCAGTCTTGAGAAATTTGTACCTTTAAATCACAGCATGTACGTATCTTACTATATTAACTACTTGTTATGTATCTTATTATATTTACAATCAGTTTGATGAGGAACAAACCAATTGGAAATAGCATTATACTTAATTTAACAAAGTTACAATCACAGCATTATTTCCCTATCCACCAAAGCTACTCAGAGCTAATCAAAGTTATGTTGACTTGTAGGTATCACTTAATTAGAATAATGAGGCAAACCTATTACCATATAAAATGTTATATAAAAAATTAATCTCGTAAAAAACTTAAAAATAATGTTATACTCATTGTTTTTCTAAATCAATAATCATCAATAATAAGTTGTCTTATTACAATAACATCTCGTTTTAGTATTGCTAAAACAAGATGCTGTTGTAATATGACAATGCGTAACTCTGTGGTATTATATTACTGTTAATTAAACTCTTTAGGTCGCTGTTTTTTCTATCACTTAATTTTAATCTAGACTGATATAAAGGCTTCAACTGGAAATCTTGAAGATCAGTGCTAGTACGTGTTCGAGACGAACGATTGTTACGGAATTGTATTTCTTTGAAATATGTATCTGTGTAGGAAGTTTTATAATAAATGCTAACGTGGTCGAAATCTTGATGTTTTTCAAATTTCATTATTTTAATGTCACTCATTTTAACTGTTCTGCCTTCAGTATTTTTTGAAAATTGAGCACCGCATATCTCTGTAAGATTTTTTATATCAACAAAGTCTGAATAGCACATTTCGGTAACATTGTAAGGATTGCCTTTCTTTCGTGCAGTTCTGATAATGATCACGTATTGATCTGGTGTGTACACAGGACCAGAACGTAAGTACTTTTTAACGGCTTTTTCTATCACAGAGTGAACAGAATCGTTTTCGTTTTGTGTGTGCCCACTAATTAAATATTTGTGCGTAATAGACTTAATTTTAAGAACAGTTAAGGCATATAAATATATAGAAAACATAAACTTATTCTTTTGCTGACCACAGCAATTATCAGAATAAAATGTGATTCGTAAATTATTGTCATTTATTTCTGATGCCCTCTTTGTCAAATACTTCCAAACACACGTTGCTATTTCGTTAGCTCCTCTTAATGCCTCGACCTCGCTCCAGACAAAACAATCACAATAGTCTTTCGCTAATTCATTTATAGTAAAATTACAAATATTGAGCTTACACTTGTAATATAAAGTAGAAACATCTCCTTTCGGAAGAGGCAACACTGCCTGGAGGTCATAACAGGCAACAATGTAGTTTTCCTTAACCATTGTTTTGTCATTTGACTTTTCCTGGCGACATAATTCTTTTTCAAGCTAGTGTTGGTCGTATCTGTTTTGTAATTCTATTGTTTTATCAACAGCGTTTTTAAAGCTAATGCATAGTTCGCACTGATCTTTTTTAGGTGTGTGAAAGCCAATGTTGTAATCTTCATTAAACACTTTTCCATATGTATGAATTTTAGCAGCTTCAACACCATCACTCAAGCATTGTGTTTGGTAGTCGGTATAAAGATCTGTAAGGTTTTTACCCCCATCAATAAATTCACGAGTCGTTTGTTGTCTTACATAATGAGATTCAATTCTTGGGATTGAGTCTATGTGGTTTTTTATTCCTTTAATTATATCTAAGCTTATTTTGTACTGCTTTCCATGTTTACCCCTTTTTTCTTCTTCAATCGTTCCCGCTTGGTTCTTTTTTGCTGTTACAGTTGCAATAGGTCGATTATTAATGGCCAACGCGTTCTTGAAGAATGTTTTACAGATACGATGCTTAATATTGTTAATCTCGAATGAAAATGAATGTTTAGGTCCTCTATTGCTATTATGTACTTTATATTGATACTTAGGTGTAATAACATTAATACACTCTGCAATATAATCTCTTTGTCTAGATAAATCTCCCATTTTCCAATAATTGTCAAAAATAATTTCTCTGCCTTCCTGTTTGATCAATTCGCTGCACTTTAGTCTACATTTTTCCCCACATGGGGGTCCTATCTGCTTCTTTGGCATGACTTTTTTTAACTGGGACACAGAAGTATATTGTTGCCCACTATTACGAAGTCTTTTAGCATCTTGCCTCACGGATGCTTTTGGAAATCCTTTACGCCTTCGTTTGTTCGGAGTTCTGTTTTGTTCTGGAGGACCCAAATTATTTTCATCAACTAGTTGTACAGAGATACTATTTTGAGGAGTTGGGCTAAATAATACACGCCTAGGTGGGGTTGTTGGTACATAATCAGCATCACAATCTGCCTCATCAGGGGAAAAGTCCTTACCCGATTCAGACGCACTAGATGAAGATGATGTAGATGAACTTGTTGATGATGAACTTGAAGATGATTTCGAGCTAGTTGAATTGGATCTTGCTCTACTGCTAGGACCTGGTCTGGTAAGGTCTTCTTCTGGAGTTAATTCTTGAAAACCAGTACCGCTCAAATATGGATTTGGTATTCCGTCATCAACTGGTTGAACATCAGCTTCCATAGTATGACTAACGGACTGAGGTAGTGCTCGTTCTTGTAATAAAGAAGGAGATCTACAAGTATCGACAGTAATCGGATTTGCATCGCGTGTAAAATTATAATCCAGGTCGTCCATGGATATTAGTTTGGGGTTTTCAGTACTTACGGAATCTTTCTTAGATTCCATAGCCTCCAAAATGCGTGACAAACGTGGGTTCCGTGAATGCGCCATGACCTGAAGCAAGTGGTTTTATTATTATTATCGTATAATTATTATAATTGACATTTTAACTTAAATAAATTTAGTTACTTTAAGTACAACTTTTATTTATATTAGTAGTAAAGTGATACTAAAAGAAATGTGTAACGTTATTATTAACTGTTTCATAAACTATGAAGTAAATTTTAATACTAGATGGAATTTAAACAAAATGTAATATTTTACTTCTAAAATTTTTATGCACACTTACGTTGCGTAGAGAAATAAACTGTGACTAACATAAATGTCCCACTATTGTAAATAAGGATATGAATTAATTTACTCTTTACTTATTGTAAAACTGTAACTAAACAAATGGTTACTCTTTTTAGATAAACGTTATTGGAATAATACCTAAAAAATAAAAAGCAAACTGTGACTATACAAACAGTAACAATTTATCAATGAAATTTTATTATGAATTGCGTAATGTCATAACACAAAAACTGTGTTTAAACAAATTGAAACACTTTTCCTATTAAAACAAATTAACAACTTACCTTTTCTGTGACATACAGCCGTGTTTATCCAAATAATAACACTGTTACTTTAAACTTCCGTTATCACTCTTCTACGAACATGTTCTTACTGATATAGACACAATATTGTATTTCGCGAGCCGATCATAACTCGGTTTAGTAACGGTTTAATTTACCGCTAGGTGGCGTAAAATACAATATTTTACAAAAATGACAAGTTTATGTTGTAGTTTACGTATATTTTACATAGATGGCATTGATAACTCAATTCATGAAAATTTTCATTTAGTAACGGTTTTACTTTAAAGGTGCGATATTTGGAGTTTAAAAACGGATGTAATGGTATTATTAATAATAGTGCTATTCGCATGTTGGTACCCCATTGACTGTATGCTGTTTTACATAATTCATTCACAATTTCAAACACAATTTCACATAATTATATTAAATGCTTTGCTTTACGTAATTAAAAATAAAATTAAACATAATAGCTGTATTCCTACAATGTATTCCCATTTCCTTTCGTTAACAAAACAATATTTGGAGAACTGTTTTGAGCAAATGTGGCTATTCTTTGTCCAATGGTTTTGTGCTCGTGGAATTACTCTCATCCAGTTTTTTTGCCAATTCTTTATCATTTTTAGGCATACTAAAACAACGAAAATATAAAGAAGAATGTCGATATGGGATTGTCGACTTTGCCGATATGCCATAAAACCGCATCACTATTAGAATAAATTTTATATTGCAATGTATTTTAGCGATTATATATAACAAATACAGTCTCATTTTTATAAAAAATCGACTTGTTATTTTCAAAATAATTTGAAATACAGTTTACTAACTTACAGTTATAATGTAATTTAATTCTAGGATAATAAGAACGTACCATTATACGGGACCGTGGATATGGCTTTTTAAAAAACTATTTATTACATGACACAATATAATTGAATAAATAAATTAACAATAAAGAATTAGTAAACTTATGATATAGTAATACCTAGGCTGCACTAAAAGTATCGGGAATGGAATATTTCCACTGTTCCTGTCATATTATAATCTTTTTAATTGAAAACTCCTTGGTTTTAAAAATCGAATACCATTTATTTCTATAAAAAAAGATTCTCGGTCTTGTCACAAGGTTTTGTTAAACTTGTTTAGTCGTTAAGAAAATGGAATTGACTCAAGAAAATTCAAGAGCGATGATTTATTATGACTTTCGAAGTGGTTTAACACAAAAACAGTGTGTTGACCGGATAATTTCTGCATTTGGTGATGAAGCTCCATCCAAAACCACAATTTATCGCTTGTTTGCTGAATTTCAACGTGGACGTGTCAAGTTCAGTGATGATCCCCGTCACGGTCGTCCAAAAACTGCAGTCACCCAAGAAAACGTTAATGGTGTGCGTAAGATGATTGAGGAAGATCGACATGTGACATACCGCTGTGGTGGCGCTGTCGTCGCGCCGCAAGCGAAACACACCGAAGCTTAAATCACGCTATCAACATTCCGAATCATAAACAGCATATATAGAACATCTCCGAACTTATCACATGGAGTGTCGGCCGCTCCCCGGGCACAACACCTTGCCCGGCGGGAGATCTCCCCTTTTCCTTTCACGGCCACACCGCGAAATTCAGGAAACTTTAGACATTGGCATGAGTTAAACACAAATAATCTTGCATGAACAATTAGGTGTAAAAAAAGTTGTTTTCCCGATGGATACCGCATTCGCTCTGTGAAGAGCAAAAAGCGGCTCGCGTTACTTGGTGCGTCAGAACTCTCGAAAGATTCTACGCAGGATCCTCAAATGCTGTATACAACATCGTATCAGGTAACGAATCCTGGATATATGCTTACGAATCCAAAACAAAAAACCAGTCACGAGTTTGGGTGTTCGAAAATGAGTTAAAGCCAACAAAAATTGTTCGTTCACGGAGTGTTGCAAATAAAATGGTGGCCACGTTTGTCTCCACAACCGGCCATGTTACGACTATTCCTCTTGAGGGACAAAGAACGGTTAATGCAGAATGGTATGCTAGCATTTGTTTGCCACAGGTCGTTTCTGAACTCCGTAAAGAGAACTGCAACCGCCGCATCATCCTCCATCACGACAATGCGAGTTCTCACACCGCACACAGAACAAAAGAGTTTTTAGAGCAAGAAAACATAGAATTATTAGACCATCCGCCGTACAGCCCCGACCTAAGCCCTAATGATTTCTATACTTTCCCTAAAATAAAGAATAAATTGCGTGGACAGAGATTTTCATCACCTGAAGAAGCTGTGGACGCCTAGAAAACGGTCATTTTAGAGACCCCAACTTCCGAATGGAATGGTTGGTTGAGCGACGGGACTAAGGTTACTGAATTCAAATTCCCCGGTCGAGCCTTAAGCCTATTACGCGAGATATTAAACCAAATGGACTGTATAAGCGGACGGTTTCTTCCGTCTCCAAAAAGTAGCGACTATAGCATGCGGTTTTCCTGACAATGCACTCGCTCTTCCCTAAACGAACTATTGCTTGCCAAAGTCTATTAAGGAACTCCGCTTGATCACGCTAGGAGAAAATGAAATTGGAGCGGATTAACTAATAAATACAATTATGTCAAGCGGGCTTATAACTGGAAGTTACTCACCGGGGTGTTGCTTCGATGCGGCTTGGGCGTTTTGTTGCTGCGGTGCGACTTCTGGCGGATTCTCTGGGGCCCCAGAGATGCGTTCCTGTCCGGTGATGTGATGGAAGAGGGCGCGCGTGGGCCGCGCGCGCTTTTATATTACTTCGGTTGCGAAGATCACGTGACATTCTAGAACTATCTTCTTTCCCCTCTCACCCCACCACCCCGGTGTGTCGATAGGACGGTAGGTTTTTTTGGAAAGGACAAACGCTTTGGCAAACCCTCGAATAAAATAAAATACGAATGGTTTTCCGCGCAACACCATCCCCCCCCCGGCTTGAAGGATTTCCTTCAAAATAACTATGCACGACGCAAGCGACGAGATACCTGCTTAGTGTAACCAGCACTGGTTGAGCAACTCAGGGGCGGTGGGCGGAGCCACGGGGGTCGCGACCAGCGAGGTTCGACAACTAGCGAGGGTGCATACAACAACACAGAAAAACAGCCGTAGTCTTGGTTATTGTATTTAATTTGTTAAATATGTATAACTTATATTAATATAAGATTTAGAATAGGATAATAAAGAAAGAATGATGTTGTAACTATGCAAATAACTCTCCCAATAAAGGCATCGAATAAATAACGAGAGTTAGCATAGATTTAAAGTATAAATTGTACTCTTATAATTAATTTACCTTTGTTGCATATCACCTTTATTGTATACATATTACCATTCATATAAATTACCTTTCTTAAGATAATTATAACTTTATCAGGGCATGTTATTGTGATGCGGCCGCGGAATTAATGAAGCTACGCGTAGGGCGTCACGACGTTTTATATTTATAGTGCTGAGGTGCGGGGCAGGGTTCTCAGCTTAAAAATTGTAAATTACAAGGTTTAAAACCTTTTAGAGTATAAGATAATTATTGTGTACATAATAGTATAAGAATTAGATGTAAAAATATTATATAATTAAATATGATTGTTAATAAATAAAAATTTTAAAGAAATAAAGAAAGGCGCGGGGGTGAGGCAAGGGTCCGCTGGCCAGCCGTGGCCGAATCATATAAAAGACGGACCGGCCGGTAGGGTCCGTCGTCACTCTCCAGCCACTGAAAAGGCACTGCAAGAAGAATAAAAGTACAAGTTCCTCCTCACCGCCGCTTGCCTCCTATATAAGAACAACGCGTTTTATTCATTTTTCGAACGGCGTTACGGCGATCCGTAACATTAATGGTCCTTCGAAGAGCCGAATTAAGAAGCAAACCGCAAGAACGAAAAAATATTAATTTGAAGAAAAATGGTGATTACGCGTACAATCACAAACAAACAGCGGAGAATCATCGAAGCGTCGTAAGGAGGAACAGACGACCCAGGGGGCCACGGAAGAGACCTCCGGGGGCGAATCAGCCACAAGTGGCTCATCAAACACCACTAGCGAAACCACAACGGGCAGCGATACAACTGCTACCTCTGCGACCGATAAAACAACTGCAACGGAAGAAACCCAGCAAGAAAGTGATCAAAGATCACAGCGTACATTAAAGCCGGGCGAGACTAGGTCACGCCGCTCCGTAGTCTCACGCAAGAGACTCCTCGCGGAGTTAGAGGCGAAAGAGCGGCTAGCCGAACTCAAGCTCGAGCAGGCCCGATTGCAAGCAAGAACGGAACTACAAGAAATACACGTGCAGCGACTACAAGCAGAAGCCGGATCAACCGAGGACGAAGAGGAAGAAATAGAGGACGACTTAGCATCAGTACGCATTAGTACATGGTTACAAGAAAAACCCACATCACAACCCGCGCCGCAACCCGCGTCACAACCCGCGCCGCAACCTGCACCACAACCCACGTCACACTCCGCATCAC